ACCAATTTCACCTTTGCCCTTGACTCTCTAATCTGTCGATATCCAAATTACATTTTCATATGCACCGCTTCTCGTATCATATTATATATAAGAACTAATAATCGTGTTGTGTTATGGAAATTGACGGTGAAACATTGGATCTTTGTGACTCTTAGCCCTTCTTCGTCCGATCTAAACCATCCAGAGGAATGAGTTAGACTATGTACAATGGTTGATTTATTCAACACCCTCTTTTCAAATTTTAACACTCCACATTATATTTTTTGCTACACCTGATAATTTAACATTCATTTCAATTTTAACCTCTACAATAGTTTTGTTTAATGTTATTATTGTTATATTTACAAAATCTTGGAATTAGTTAATTTTAGGTTCATATTAAATTTAATGAAAACATATGTTAGTTTTTTTCAAATCGCACAATATGGGTGTTTAAGATAGGAATATATTTAAATTTTATGAAATATGTTAGTTTGTTTTTCAAATAACTATTTTTAAATCATATTTTTAAGATATAATTTGTATGTTTAAATTTTAAATTAATATAAAATTGGAAATTAATAGATGCTATCAAAATTTAAAATTTAAATTAGTTGGAGCTATCAAAATTTCAAATCAATTAATTTATAATTTAAATAAATATCAAACCAAAAAGGTGATTTTATTTTTAAATGTTTAAACAATTTGTATTTAAACATGATTTTTTATATTTTAATTATCGAATAATATTTATTATTTAAATATACAAAAATATTTAATAGATAAATTTAGTTCAAAAAATATAATGCTCATATATTATAGGGAATAATATGTAAACTTGATATCTTTTCTTAATTACATATATTAAATTACGGTGTATTTAATTTCCTTAAATCTTGTTTCGAATTGATTTGGAAATAACGATAGATGAATGGCCAAAAATAGAAGTTAAGATCCGAATTTAAAGAAACGGGTTATAAAACCCTCGTCCTTTTAAAAGGGTCTTTTTTTATTTCAACGAATTTTTTAATCCAAGGGCATTATGTCGTAAATACTTTGAAAAACTAAGGAATTTCAAGTACTTCTCAATTAATAGTAGGGAATATTGCTCTATGAGACACTTTATTGAAACTCAATCTCCTGCTGGAGCACATTAGGGGTAGTGGACACATTTTTAAGTTTTTTTACCATAACACCCTCAACTCATCCTAACTAATCATGGTCCCAATATTTACTTTCTCTTTATCCAAATATATCATTCATCTTTCTCTCTCCTTCGTCTCATCTCTATCTCTCTTCTTCATTCATCTCTCTTTCTCTCTCTTTTTTTTTTCGAATGAATGTTAAATTTATTCACACCAAAAAAATACCATTGTTTACATTAAATGCATCCTTGTTTTGAAATAAATTGAAAGATTTTAAAGTTGAAAAATTGAAAACTAAAAGGGTGCCAGGGAGTTGGGTTGTATCCCAAACCAAACCCGGAGTGTGTCCTCGAACTGTGAGTTACCACGAAGCTTGAGAGTGCTTAATCTGTTTAGGACGAGGCGGTCAATGAATTTGAACAGCTGGTCAGGAGAAGACGGATGCTCACCATGCCTATGTTGGTTCCGTTCTCTCCATATAGTGTGAATAGACGCTTGAAAGACATATCGTAGAATAAAACGAGTGGAAGCAGTGAGTGTTGAGTCCATAGCAAGCTGCAACAGAGCAGGAAAGCTAGATGTGTAGTGTTGGAGCAGGAGACCCTTAGTTAACACAGCCCATATTTTTGAAGAATACGAACATGTGAACAAGAGGTGATCCCACGACTCCGCTGAGCAACAACATAGCACACAAGCAGAGGAGATGCCTTTGTTCCAAGAGACCATTCTATCACCAGTGGATAAACAGTTGTGAGCTGCAAGCCAAGCCATGAAAGCATATTTTGGAGTGGCACCTGAGAACCAAACTCCCTTATGCCATTCTTTTTCTAAGCCTCTTTGGCGAATCTGATGCCAAGTCTCGCGAGAGGAGAACTTTGCCTTGATTTTACCCCCCTTCCCTTTCCAAAGAGCCTTGTCTTCCTCAAAACAAGCGCCCCTACTCCTTATTTTATTCAGCTCCTCCTCTACTTTATTCAAAAATTCTGTTCTAATCATGTCGTATCCTTCGATGAATAGATAGAGCTACAACAACTGTGGAGTTAGACGATATGCCCATATCAATAACCCCCCCCCCCCGATCACCAAGAGCAGCATGGAGTTGTCCCAAAGAACACCATTTATCATACCAAAAAGATGTTTGAAGACCACTCCGAATCTCAATTGTATAGAACTCCATTGCTTAAGCCCGATATTTGAGAAGCTTCTTCCACATCCATGAGCCTTTAGTGGAACTTTCGTGCAGCGACCAAAAGGACGGAGCTCGTATTATCTCCCTCTTCACCCAACTGACCCATAGGGAGTGTTTCGACGATATAATTCTTCATATCAACTTGAAACAGCTAACTTTATTAGCTTCAACCACTGACATCAATCCTAAGCCTCCTTCTCTTTTCGGCTTACATACATCTCTCCAAGCCAACTTAGCTTTTTTTCAATTTAGTTCTGCTCCCGACCAAAGAAAAGCAGCACTTATCTTTTCTATTTCCCGAAATGCAAGCACTTGGTAGGCGAAAGGCGGAGATCCAGAAGTTAGTGAGACTTGCAATTACTGAACTCAGGAGTTGTAACCTTCGAGCATATGATAGAAACCGATTCTTCCAGGAACTTATACGAGATCGAATTTTCTCTAGAAGGGGTGAGCAATCAGCCAGAGTCATCATCTTTCTCTCTTTCTCTTCATCTCACCCAAACATCATTTATCTCTCTCTACCCAAACATCCTTTATCCCTCTCTCTTCTTCGTTATCTCTATCTCTCTTATTCCTTTTTTTTTTCCTTTCATCTCTCTTCTTCGTCTTTTTCCCTCACCTTGTACCAAGGATAGTAGTAGTGATCTGTGATAAATTAATTTGCCGCTGGAATTCGAGAGAGATGACTCCTCAATGAATTTCAATTTTCATGGTCTTTCATAATCGTATCTTTTACTTTTCGCTTTGATTTGTCTGCACTACGTTTTAGATTCGTATCCATCAGATCTGTGATTTGAATTTCAGAAACCCAATTTTCTTCTCTTTAAGAACCTCAAGAAGCTTCCCAAATCCCAGAGCAACTTCGTCTTACTCATCTAAATCTCCATGGACGACATAAACGAATGCTCAAAGTCTCTTCTTGTTTGAGTCTTACCCAAACAGATCCGGGTATTTTATCTTCTTCTTGTAATTTTAGATTTTACTGCATAATTAATAAAGATATATTTAGAAACTCAATTTCTATGACATCTTGGGGTTTCATTTATTAATGATATAAGGAAATAGGTTTTTTTGAAAGCATGAATCCTAGATTGAATCGTACAAGAAGAAGAAGCTTCATGAGAAGGAAAAGATGAAGAGAACATTGAGCCATTTAAGGAAATATTAGGTTTGAATGTTGTGTGATTAATATATTAAAAACTCGAAGAATCAGTCATCTAAGACTTGTAAGTCGTTTCAACTTTGAACCAAATCAAGCATGAACAACGTGGAGTCACCAACGTTGGATTTCCTTATGAAATATTAAATAAACTAAGCCATGTTATATGATTTGCGATGATCTTTGCGTGACTCTTGAAACAAAAAAAAATCATTATAGCAGATAAGTGGCCAATTTGCCCTATTTTGTCTCAAGTTTCGCTAGGGAAGAAAATATGTTTTTGGAGAGTGAGAAATAAATTAGACCTAGATTGAAATGACCACGTGGTCAGAGTTTGGTGGATGTGCATAGATGGTCGATAATTTGAAATGATTGCGTAAATTTTGATGTAAAATTAAAAACAAGTATCATGTGTCAAGCATCTATGGATAGTTTATATTTTGTTCTTTAAAAATATTTTTGTGTCAATGACTTCCTACACTTATCTCTACCAATCACCACTATTATGTATAGAAAAAGCATTATGGAAGCCAATATTTTGTTATGTTACGAATCTGACGTGATTTTTGTGTAATGTTGTCCACAAAATAGAGATAAGATCCTGTGATTAATTTTCATTTTGTTGGCGATTTGGCACATGTAATTGTAGTTTACGTACACAAAATAAAATATATATATTGGATGAAAAGAAAGCATTATGGACCAAATACGGGCCGAGATATTGGTGTGTGGTATCTGAAGGTGGGGTCAAAAATATATTACTCACAATTATATGGTTTGTCATGCAAGTAATCAGGATTGTGTCTATAGAATAACTTGATGAACATTTCATATGATCTATTTTCATCTTTTAAAAGGTATATTTAATGTTTTTTGGTATTGTAACTTTGATGATCCATTTTTCACAAAATTTTTAAAAGATGTTTTTCTTTTTATTTCCAAAATTTAAATAATCTCACAAAAGTGTAAGTCCAAAAGAATTTTTAAGCCCAATTAAGTCAAGTTGACGGGGATTTGACTTAATGGAAGTGTAATCGCATGGTTGAGATCATTCTAATCAAGTTTGACGAGTAATCGGACGGCTCAGATTATTTGAATTCATACACATTTAGTGAAAAGTTTATGACCGTTTTTTTTTTTGATAATAAAGTTTATGACCGTTAATCTAGACATATCCTTTTTGTCTTGCGATCTTTCATTTTTTTTCAAAATTTGAAATGTCTATATAACTGAACCAAATATTACCGTTTGAAGAAAGAATAACGTTACGTCTTTCTAATTTTTCTCATTAATTTTGAAACCCTAAATTCTTTAGTTTTGCAAAACCTCTGAAGAAGTTTGATCACCGGCGATTGTTCTCTCCGGCGACCACCGCCGATCATGATCTAGGAAGGTTATCGAGTCTAAGGTCAAGTTAGATGAGATACCAGACTCTCGAATCCCTAATTCATAGGGATTTGTTCCGATTTTGTGTTTTTTTTCCTCTTATTTGATTCGATTACTATTACGATGTCTCTCTCTCGTTCTGAGTCTGGAGGTTGATCGATTTTGTATTTCATCTGATGGATAGTTCTGATTTGTGATTTTTTTTTTCAATTTGGTTTTGATAGATCATTAACGATCGCGAGACTGTACGATTAAAGGGATTTTGTTTTGATGGTCGTATCATCACCTACAGTGGTGATTGGCGGTGATGATGGTGGCTTGCCGTGAGTGATGAAGTTACGCCGGAGGAAGCGGTGGTCGTGGCTGGTAATTGAAATAAAGTGGGTTTTGTGGCTCTGTTCTCTAGTGACTTGTTGTTGTTGGAGGATACTCTTGTTACATGAACTCTCTCTTGTATGTTCATGTGTTTCGTTCAGTTTTGGGAACCTCAGTTGTTACATGAACTCTCTCTTGTATGCTCAAGTGATCCAGGATCATATGATACCTTCGGAGCAGCTCCGGTATGTAATATGAGTTGTGGATCATCTTACTATTGAGGTAGTATCAAGTATGTCCCTGACTAACTTGTTTTTGTAGCAGCTGAGGAGGATAAGTCATCTAACTATCTGAGCCTAGTCTTGAGTATTGGTACTCGTCTCTTCCCTTCTTCTCTTCCGCCATTTTGTCCTTTCGCTGCTTAGCTCACAATATCTCACTCTAAATCTATAGTTCACAGTATGTCACTCTAAACATTTTGTCTTGATGAAACAATAATGTCTACCAGAGATTTTGAATTCACTATCCATTATTTCATGAACATAGAATACATAGTGATCTGTTGCTCGTTTCCATTCATCATATGATATGATGGCTCACTGGTATGCTCATCTATCTCCCATGGATGTTAAACACATCATCTTGGCAGCTTTGTGTTTTTTTCCCCTTGATATTGATTTAAACCACGTTTGCAGGTTCAAGTCCATATATAGACCTAGCTGGAGATCACTCTGAACGGAATGCAGCTTTTTTCACTCTTTGAAGATATCCTTTGTCAAATATTCGACATGATTAAACCAGTGGCAAGACTTCTTTCAAATCATACCATGGTATTTTCATATCCTTGGCTCTTCTGTTTTTTTTTCTTATTCGAAACATCAATTTGTTGAATGACTCTTTCAGAAGGAGCACTGCATCTTTTTTCTTTCTTTATGCTGGATATGTTTTCAATATACTCTTCAACCTGAACAAATTCATGGCGTCTCAAACTCATGACCCTTTCCGCATTCGACAGGTAAGTCTAGCTTTTCTATAGAGTTTCCCTCCCTTTGGTTATTCAATACTTGGTTTAATAGCTGTTGAAACTTATTACTAGTGTATATTTATTTGGTTGCAACATGAGCTGAATTCATTTGACAACAGGAAGCAGTATTTTGACATGGGTCACTTGGTTAACGCATTCAAATAAGTTCCTTTTGAACCCTTTTTGTTGAATTAGTTTTTGTTCCTTTCACCTTTATCCCGTCGCTGCAATTGTTCATTATTGTTTCTTTTTAACAGGTTCTCTAAATACTTGATTGATCAATACTTCTTTATAATGTGTGCCTTGGAGTTGCCGAATTAATATCCTTTTGTAATGTTACATTTTCTGAGTATACCTGATTGATCAATTCTTCTTAATTGGCTTTTGTTTTCTCATTTTCTCACAACCATTTTTAGTCGGTTGTGTAAGTGGTTTGGCTACTTCTTTCTTAAGGATTATGTCATTGATTTTGTTAGCAGGCTCTGTTTTTTTTCTCCCAAGTTTAGGAGGATCAAGAAACAGCAGTTCGTCTAGCGAAAACAATGAAATATTCGTTGAAGGGAAGACCAGTGCAGGTACCTTGTTTTGTTATTGTGAGTAATAGCCACTAGCACTGAAAGATTGTTGAATAACTTGATCTTCTTGCAGGCTCCTATATTTGAGGGTAAAGAACCTCCACAATTTGTTGCAGTTTTTCAACATATGGTGGTCCTTAAGGTATTTCTTTTGATTGTTGCTGCAAGAAAATCTATTCCTAATTGATATAGTTACATTAACTTATAGGGTGGTTTGAGTTCTGGTTACAAAAATAGAATGACAGAGTTCATCAGACGGAATCAGTTGCACTTATTCAAGTATCTGGAACTGGAGTTCACAATAGTAAGGCACTACAAGTTGAAGCGGTACTGTTCTACCCTACTTTTCTCTCTTGCTAAGTACATTTTCTAATTTAGAATGTTCAAAACTTGGCTACCTATTTGTGATCGTGTAATGTTAGTATCTGAAAAAGATGCCTGGATGCCTGGATCTTCTTTTTTCTTGCAAAAGAGGGAATATAGAGCTCATCCTTTTGGTTTGCACCAGCAAGAAGGTGTTCCTCCGAGACTGTCAGGGATTCCCACTTGTTCTCAATTTTGCACCAGGAATATGATATCAATTTTGTTCTGGCAGCAAGCTGGTGTTGGTACATTAACATTGCTCAAAACTGGGGTTCCAGCAATAGCCAACAGATGATCCTTTTGAATAATGTTTGTGGTTACAGGTTTGTCATTTTTTATTTGGATAACTCCAGTGTTGCATCTAAATTGTTATTATTTTGTTGTAGAAAGAAAGAAGCTAGTGCGTATAGTGTTAAGGATCTTGCTTCAAATAAATCTTTCTATGTGCAATCACCTTGCCAGATTTTGCTCTGCATATTGGCCATCTCTCTAGTGAAGCTGGAAAGTTTTTTTTTGTTTGGGTGTGCTATTGGTCTTAGCACTGCCTCAAAGAGACGTGGTTTTTTTCATGTTCTTGGTAAATGTAAATCAGGGTATATATATACAAATCAGTTTTCGAAAAGGTTTAAAAATGAGAGAGTAATTAGTATATGGTCGGAATCAATATTGTGATTTGATAGCATGTAGGGTGCGCTAGTAATTGTTTTGGTATCATGTTACATCTGCTAACAATCTTGTAGTAATTCTTTCACTAGTTTTTAAGCGACTGTCTTTGGATCAGTTTCTTTGTTTGATATCGAAGCTGCTTTAATTGGTTAATTTATGTGTTACATCTCTAGGTAATAGGTTGTCGATGATTCTAGATACGTATAGATTTTGATGTTCCAAGATATGGATTTTCAGGTTCCTTCTGTTCTTCAGAGAGATAATATTTTTTTAATTAGTTGGCCAAAGTGATTGTATTCTTTGGCTCTTGTTTATGTGGGTTCACTTCTTTGTGTTAGGTTCTCTTTATTATAGAGCGTTCATGTTTTGGCTCTTGCTTTAGTCGCTTAGGAGGATGGTTTTCTATCAGTAGTTTCCTGAATCTCTAGGGTTGTTTATGTCATTTGACTAAACGTTTTCTTAGAGTCTAAATCATAGTCACATATTCTTGTTGGAGGCTTAACTTTTTATTGAACTTACTTATTATTATCAAAACTATGTGGAAGACGCAAAGAAGTTTCTTTTAGATCGTTCCCCATTATTCCTTAGTGCTAACAGTCTTTCTGTTTATTCAAAACTCTTAAGTTCTTGCTAGAGATCACATTGGGGTTCCTGGCTTAGGCTCGTGAGTTGGCTTTATCATCTCAGCCTTGGTTTTTTGGACCAAAGTTAACATGCTTTTTCTGCAAGTTTGTGTGGGTTTAACTTAGAATCAATTCATGATGGAGGTGAGACCTGTATGATACTTTTTGATTCCTAATTGGTTGAGTCGAGAGGCGGCTTTCTTTAGATGGTCTTCAGGTTTTGTCTGTTTTTTATTCAATGGTGGTCTTCAGATTTAATTGCTTGGGCTTACTGCTTTTCAGCTATTACTAGCTCTTTTTACTATGACAGCTACTAGTGTCCCATGTTCTTGATCTGTTGACTTACACGCTCTTTGCTTTAACTGCAGAGCCGAGACAGTTCAAGGGGAGGTCTAGGTGCTGAAGCTTTATGTCATCAAAATCACCCGCGCGAACACCAGAATTAACAAGTTAGGCATCACAAAGAGGGTAAGTTCTTTACCAGTACTGGTCTATTGCAGCATATGGGATGAACGACCTGTGTCCCCCCACGAAATTTCATATAGTACCATAACAACACAGATTTCGGGTCTCGTCTCCAGTTCACACAAAACGAAAGTTAAACTCCAGTTTCCCCCTAAATTGAAAGTTCGAGACCTCAGTCTCCATAAATTTAATTTTCGTGGTTTATCATTGGTTTACTGTGCCGAACTCGATGCCAAACCAAAACCCAGAATAATAAACCGATTTGAAACCCAATTTGAGTTATCCCAACCCGAAATAAATAAACCACTCTTAAATCATCTCTCTCGCCGAAATAAATACTTGGTCGGTTCAGTCACCGGCGGCGACCGACGAAGCTGTCGGGTTTGGGTTCGTCGTCGCCTTCAACCCAACGAGATTAAACCAACGAATCATCAAAATTTCCTAGTAATGAAGAAAATTTATGCGAATCATGTAAGACTAACAAGAAAAAAGGAAGACTTTGTTAAACTCAAATCTGTTTACAAGAGAAAAAATACTATCTTTTTGAAGACGAGATGATTAATAAACCTTAGCACAGCTCTCAATCTTAAACTCAATCGTTTGTCTCACAATGTAATAGTTTGGTTGATTTTGGTCAACGATGTTATCAATCTCGTTTAGAAAAGCAAATCGGCTTCTTGGCGTTGACCATATTCCTTTCTCTTTCTTTAGCTATGGTTGCTCTGCGTTTCTTCTTCTCCTCGTCTCTTCTTATTCTTCTTCTTCTTATCAGGCTTACCTCGACGTTTGCTATCCAAGAAGCCACCATTGAAGACATCAGACTTGCTTTTAAGGAGAAACGACTAACATCAAAGCAGCTTGTTGAGTTGTATCTCGAAGCAATCTCCAAACTTAATCCAATACTCCACGCAGTCATCGAGACGAATCCTGATGCGTTGATTCTAAATACTTATTTCAAGAATCCCCAAATTGAGAACTCACTGATAATTTCTTCTCCGGTGAACTTCCGACAACGATCCGTCGATGTTCTCGATCAGATTTACCTCTCAAACAACTGGTTTTCTGGCGAGATTCCACCTGCGATCGGTAATTTCCCCAATTTACAGACTCTGTTCTTAGATCGGAACCGATTTCGCGGGAATTTACCGAGGGAAATCTTCGAATTGAAGCATTTATCGAAGATCAACACAAGTGCGAACAATATCACCGGTTCAATCCCTACCAGAATCGGAAACATGACGAGTTTAACAACTCTCGATCTCTCTTTCAAAGATCTCTCCGGAAGAGTACCACTCGGTGGTCAATTCATGGTTTCACGATTTGTGGGAATATCGGGGTTAATGGGTCAACTAATTGGGTTGGTTTCTGGGTAAATCCGGTTTACTTTCGATGTGAAGCGGTTAATTGGGTTTTCGGCACAGTAAACCGAAGATAAACCACGAAATTTGAAATTATGGAGACTGAGGTCTCAAACTTTCAATTTAGGGGGAAACTGGAGTTTAACTTTCGTTTTGTGTGGACCGGAGACGAGACCCGAAATCTGTGTTGTTATGGTACTATATGAAACTTCGTAGGGGGACACAGGTCGTTCACCCCAGCATATGAGTGAAAAGGTGTATATCCGTAAGTACAAACAAGGGTAAGAATCATAGTGTAATTGTGATTATTACAAAGACGGGCCTTTTCAAAAATCCTTTTCAACATACTGTTTGAGTTCACTTCAAGTGCCTCAATGCATAGATAAACTTGCCCAAGCTGGTCTCAAGATATGGGGTTTGACAGGAGATAACTTGGAGACAGCGATAAACATAGGGTTTCTTGCCCTTGTAGTTGACTGTGCATCAGTGATCTGTTGTCGTGTCTCTCCCAAACAGAAAGCACTTGTATGAATAACTCCACAACTCTAAAAATATACTTTTATAGGTAACACGGCTAGCCAAAGAAGGAACAGGAAAAACGACTTTGGCAATCGGTGATGGTGAAAATGATGTTGGAATGATTCAAGAAGCTGCTATTGGTGTTGGCATAAGTGGCGTTGAAGGTATGCAAGTGCTTGAAAAAGTATTCTTCAGCACAATGAGATATGGTCAAGTTTTGGAGAAACAAAAGTAAAAATGTAGAATTGCAATTTTACATGTTCTTACTGATGCGTGTGAGACTTTTTTGTGTGCAAGATATCTAACAATTACAAAATCAGAGAATTGGAGTTTTGGCTTGTGTCTTGTTGTGAGTTTCAGATCACTCACTTCACTTGGTCTCTTGGATCAGGATCGAAGAAATACCGGTATTGTAAGGTAAGAAGTCTCAGATTGCTTGTTTTTTTAAGCTTTAAAGTTAATATTATCAAATTTTCTTTGTTGTCTCTTTTTTTTTTCAAAAAATATAGTGTATTGTTCTGTCTGAGCTCTGAACAGGGTTTTCGGTTTTCCAAGTGAACTGATGAGTAAAGGAAAGCATTTCATATTGATACAAAATCCTCTTAAAAAACTGGTCAGACTTTCTAATCAAACACTGGTTCTCAACTTTAGCCAATGTTTCATCTAATGGTCTTCTCTGTTTCTCGAATTAGGCTTGGGAGGAATTAGTGTCGATATACAGTGATCTCTGTCACATGGGAACACCACCATCAGTCATCAATGCGGATGAGCTTCAGCGAGATCCCGAGGTTTTGTTTATGTAATAGGTAAATTTTAACTAAGATGTCTTTTTCTATTACATGTTATGCCATCCATATATACATGCAGACTACACTACACGGTCTTTGTGATGATTTGAAACTCGTGAACTTTTTTCATTCGCCAAGTAAGTCGAGCTTTTCTATAGAGTTTCCTCCATTTTGTTATTCAATCCTTGGATTAATAGCTGTTGAAACTTATTACTACTGGATATTTATTTGGTTGCAACATGAGCTGAAATTCTTTTGAAAACAGGAAGGAGTACTATGACATGAGTCACTTGGTTAACTCATTCAAATAAGTTCCTTGAACCTTTCTTACTCAATTAGTTTGTGTTCCTTTCACCTTTATCACGTCTCTGATGTTCACTATTGTTTCTTTTACCAGGTTTTATTATTTTTTCATCTCTCTAAAAATGGTTCAGTTAAGGACTTAAACATTTTGGAGATGGATGCAGTAGACAAGCTAAATACTGACCAATGTTCTCCATGATCAGGTAACTAATATATGATATTGTGTTAAGATTTTACAGGACACGATAAGCAGTTGTCCTTTTGTCTGTTTAGAAATGGTTTTGTCTGATGGTCTTCCAGTTTCGTCTGTTTTTTGCTGATAATTCTTTAGACTTTAGAGTAACTTTAACTTGATTTAGATTTTAGATAGTTTCTCAGTGTGAAAAATACTGTAAAGAGGTACTATATTATATTTTTTCTTCTTCTTATCACAATTTTCTTACATAGTAGATGGTTGACTTCATTATTTCAACCAAATATAATTTCTCCTCATGTCTTGTTGCGTGTTTTTCCTATTTTTTATATCAGTCACTTCACTTTGATTCTCTTGTTTCAGTTGATGGCTGGAGAGATTGGATTGGTGGTTCGTTTATTGTTTCAGCAAAGCCGAGAGAGAAACAGAGTAAAGATCATAGAGTGCCATGTGCCAAGCCAAATTTGTTCCAACGTTTCTCTCTCCCTTTACTTTGTTTTTTTACACTAAACATAAATTACAGTTATCTATGTACAAATATTTTGACACCATTTTTGTTTCGCAGAAAGGTGGTGTTACTACATCAAAACGGGCGTGTCAGCAACATGTGATTTCTTTGTCCTATTTATCTTGATAACTCAGATGTTGAATCTAAACCGTTATTCTTTTGTTGTAGAAAGAAAGAAGCTAGTGCCTAATAGTGTTAATGATCTTGCTTCAAAACAAGTCTTTTTATGAGCAAGCACCTTGCCGGATTTTGCTCTGCATATTCACCATCTCTCTAGTGAAACTGGAGATGTATCAACGGGGGATAAAGTGACCTGCAAGGTAAACATTTTACCTTATATAGGGGTTTCTCTCTTTTGGATTTTACTTATATAACTTTTTTTCTTTTTTTTTTTTTATCTTGTCTAATGTGTGCAGCTTAACTATGAGAGACGTAAACTCATCGCTAACAATCAGACATGCACACATATGTCGAATTTTTCCCTGAAGGTATGTATCTTTTATGTTTGCTTTCATTTATACTACGAAACCTTAAAATTATGTCTTTCTAAAGGCTTAGGTATCATATTTAGCAGAACATATCAATTTGATTTTCCCATGGCAAGCTGGTTGATCCTGAATATTAGAGAAATATCGATTAGGACGATCTGGATGTGTTTTTCAAGAGTGAAGGGTCTAAGAGAAAGGCTTGCTGAATCCAAACGCTAAGAGAATCATAAGGGGAAGTAAACTGTTAAATTCATTCTCTTATTAGCCATTATTAGCTTGATTTCTACTAAATTATACATGTTTTCTGTTTAATGCTTATTACTTATGTTTTTTTTGTAATAGATTATTGATATTTGCAAAGAGGAAGAACCAAAGAAGTGAGTTCTAGCCTCTGTCCTGCAGGTGTCTGTGTGATCAGTTGTATAATTCAGCGAGATGAAGGATGAACACCAGTGAGACACTATTTCCGTCGGTCAATGGAGAAACATTATAATGGAGAAGAGCCGTTGCAGGGTAATCTTGAACCTCCTATGTCCATATACCTTTAGTTGGTTTGATTTTGATGATGACAGGTAAATTATAGTTTTATAAAATCTCATATTTTTTAATGATTCTTTATTATTTGTGTTATGAAGGATAGGTTGAAAGGATGAGTTTATGTTGCAGCAAAGTGTGTTTTTGTGATTATCCTTCTCACACCAGTTTTTCTTGTCTTCATAACTATGTCTTTGGAATGGTATGCTCATTATATTCGTCTTTTCCGGGCATAAAAACAAAAACAAACTTGTTCTCCGACTTATGGAGCAGCTTGTTTACCGTTGAGGTAGGTTTGGTTATTTTTTGTTTTATGATATTCTTGTTGACATTTGGCAGCTGATGATCAATATGTGCTTGTAGTTGACGCTCAAGGCAAGTCCCAAGAGGAAGAGTGTCATTAATAAAAGGATTAGATCTTGTGAGCTCGTCTTTAGCTGTTGAAGATGATCATGGTTATATTTGACCACAGTGATCACACACTTCAAATACGGGTTGGTGAAACTTATATTCACAGATTACACACTTCAAGTACTTGTAAGAGTTCATTCTCTTGCAATTTATTCAACACTGAAAAAGTTGACTTTATTTTGAATTGACTCATGCCTTTAGCGTCAATAAGAAAAAACCCATGAGGATGCATTGACACTGTTCTGGTCTTATTTCTTCTTGGAAGTTCCTAGAGGATGACAGAATGTAAAAACATTGGCTAAGACAAGCACGAGACGAGATCTGAAAAAGGAGGGGTTGAGAAGCATAGTAAGAGAAATCACAAAAACTATGAATATGATAGAGATCTTGTATTTGGCAATATGATGAACATTGCTATTGTGGGAATCAACAATTAAATGACTCCGTTTCAAGAAAGGTTCTTGACAATTGACACAACATGACTGTTTAAAACAGGTTATCTAAGATGTTGTCACGTCTACTTAATCCGTTTTCATTTCTAGCTTGTTTGTTTATGTGGGGATGAGGACCAAGCTCAGGAAAGAGTAAACAAGCTGGCCAAAATTCTGTAAAGGGATAAAGTGAGATTATAAACAAACATTCACTATCATTTTATAACCAGCAACAATTTCTTACGCATAAATGAGCATTCTCTTACTTTCATCTTATATGACAGGTTTAACATATTTGTATATGGAGATGGAGTTTTCAAGTACTACAATGTTAATGACACTAGAATATCTTGATATTTGCAAAGTGATCGTCTGATACAAGGATCTTCCTGGAGGTATAATCTCCTTGAGGGATTTGGAGATTGGTTTAGCTCAAGCAAAGGATAAAGAGAATGACTAAGTCAGATAGTGTTTGACCTCCCTACATTTGCTTTGGGTAATAACGAAAATGCTGTTATAGGATGTGAAAGACGAATGCAGGGGACTAAATTGGATGCTTGTGTTACATACTCGAGTTTATCATTTAAATGGAGAATTTTCTTTATAGGTTGCTTTCACTATGGATGTCCTATCGTTAGAGGAAACCGATGAACCTGATCTAAAAAAGTACATTAGTGCCTGGAAAGTTGCATCAGGTTACACATTTTCATTAGTACCCTCATTTTTCTGGTGGCCAAGTCCTGGTACGAACGACATTCTCAGGGAAAGATATGGGTGATGTCATTCTTGCAATTCATATCTACAACAAGTAGACGATGCATGTTAAATACTGCTATAGCGGGTTCCAAAAAAGGGTGCTATGAAGATCTTCAGTAGCCTTTTACCTCTAAGAATGGGTAGGGAGTGAAGTATATCTGGAGGAAAGCTTGCATGGTCTGATTTGGTGGCCCATTTCTTAGTGAAAGTGTCAGAAAAAAGTGGTGTAAGCATGTCGAGGAAACCTCAACTTGCAAAGTCCTAAAACCATGCATACTTCAAGTAAGTAGTTCTGCTTTATAACAATCTTCTTGGAGGAAACACTATTACATTTTCCATGTCTTATGTACTCTTCTTTTTGTCTCTTAAAACACTTAAAACAGTGAACACTCTAGATGAAAAACTTGACAGTCTACACTAACATTTGATTTATATCTTGTTCACAACTCTACCTTGTGGTTTGTTTATTATGGTTGCAGCTTGAGGAAAATATCTACAGTATTGCTTTATAAGCGATTGGTTTAAACTGATGGATGATTGATTAATAGAACATTATGTTTTCCAAAGTGGTTCAGTTATTGTTGGGGTTACACAGAAACGTGGACCACGCTGAAGTTATAGTTGAAGGTTTCGGCGATGATAGGTTTACTTGGTGGCGAGGGGTGACGTTATATCAAAGTTATACTATTGAAAGCAGTTTTGTCACAACCAGCGATAAGGAAAGAAAACTTGGTAATATGTGGTGCATTTATTTTGGTTTTCTGATCCATATGAAAAATTAGTTTTGTAGAAATTTATTAACCCATCTATTTTTTTCTTGACAGGCTGGTGAACTTATATCCAAGCTTGACCTTGTTTATCTTTCTGTTGTAAGAAAGGAAGCTTCCAAAGATAATTGCCGGCTATGAACATAACTTAGATGAGATAAATGCAATTTTTGTTTTTATAATTAGAAATTTTGACTTTGAAACATATCTTCCGGGTTGTTCAAGATAGACGTAATCACCTTGATGCCCTAAACCCCCATTTTTCAGTGGCAAGAGTACTTTGAAAGTTCTGGTGGCCCGACTCCCTAATGATCTCAGGAACATGGTAAACACTCGTATATTATTTATAATCCCTTTTCCTTTTCTGCGTTATTTGTTTCGATTTTCAAGTTTTTAAAGCCTTTTTTTATAAAATTCTTTATCAGCTAGAATATCTTTACAAAATTTAAGATACAAATAACAAATTTTGATAATTAGATGTTTGAGCTCTAGAAAAGTTGGTAGAGCTTCAATAAACCTAGACAGAACAGAGACTGCTCCACAACCAGAATATGCTTTTGCCAATCAACTAACTTCATGTCATTTAACTGTCATATGGACAGATGGAGGAAATGGTACAGAAGTTTTTGGATTTCATTTCGACAAAGAGTTTTAAAGACGCAGCGATGAACCCGATATAAGACTACTCAAAGTTAGACACACCCTTGAAATGGCCAGTGGAGTTCAACAGGCAAAAGAGGGAGATGATAGAGCTTTTGCATATGTAACGTCCCTATGAATATGGCTCATAGCAAGCATCGACCGCCCTGACGCTATTCTCCAGGTAAAGTTCACATAGTAAACTTAAGTACATTATGATGTATGCGCTCTTAATTTCACATTAGTATAATTTCAAAATATTTGATTTGAAGTTTTACGCGGACTACAACTCATGATCAAAGCTTCTTGAATCAAGTAATTATATAACTACACGGCATGCTATTAATATTTGTTGTTGCTGCTACTTTTAAGGTACCAAAATACTGCAAAAAAAACAAAAAAAATTTGCATTTTATTTGCTTTAGATCTTATCTGCTTTGACACTATTTAGTGTCAAACATGCAATCATACTTGCAACCCTGTAATTTATTTTTACAGGAACTGTTGCCAAGTTTCTCACCAATGATTAAGACTGCGTAAGTTTTGTTATAAAATAAGGGATTCATAAGTCATAACCAAAGTTTGTTAACGTTGGAAGTTGGAACTGTGATACATAAGCTAAGGTAATGTAGGCACTTAGCTTGCACAAATATTTTCGGTTTTGGGCCACCTTAGTTTAATAATGTTGTTGAGCACCCAATTTTTGTACTTGAAAGTCGAGTTCTCTGGCTTAATTATCATAGGGCTTACACATGCTATCATTTTTTTACCATGGTTATGTTCGTTTGTTGTATTGTTCTTCATTTACCTCTAGTTAGTTTCTATGAACAAGACTCGTTTTTTCTATTACTAGTTTATGTGGTTTACTTCATGTAGTTAAGGAAACAATGGGTGTTAGAGTAAAATTCTTTTAGAGGTAATGGAGAAAGTGTTTAAGTGTTTGAGAGAGAGTTTTAGGAAATAGAACTTTTATTACTTTGATTTTAACTTGAAGACAACTTCATAATCTTACAACAAAATGAGAGAGGGAGAAGGTATTTATAGCCTCCAAACTACAAAATATCTAAAATATTTTAATCCTAAATCTAGAGAGTTCTTAACATAATATCTAGATTACAATATTCTAATTATCTAGATTATTCTATAAGAATATCTAGATTTTTATGTTTAAGGAGGTGGAAGATGATTCTAGAAAATTTCTAGAACATTTTAAGGAGGTGGTAATTATGATATTTCTAGAGAAAACTCTAGAACTTGGATTTGGCCCATCAAATGATTATTGGGTAATTGACCCAATAATTAAACTTGATTCAAAATCAAGTTTAACTTTCAACACCCCCTCTTAAACTTGATTTTGCTACTCCAAGCAAACTCCTCATCTTGATAAAATCTTCGCGCTTGAGAGGCTTGGTGAAAATATCGGCTACTTGATCATGTGTTTTCACATACTCCAATTGCACGTCCTTCTTGTTAACACACTCTCTAATGTAGTGATAACGTGTGTCAATGTGTTTACTTCGATCATGGAAGACCGGGTTCTTCGCCAATGCTATTGCCGACTTGTTATCCACAAATATCTTCGTTGGTTCATCTTGTGGCAAGCTTAACTCCTTTAAAAGATTTCTTAACCAAATAGCATGGCACACACATGAAGTAGCCGCTACATACTCCGCTTCACAAGTGGATAGAGTGACAATCGGTTGCTTCTTCGACATCCATGTGAAAGCCGTATCTCCAATATAAAACACGAAACCACTTGTGCTTTTTCGGTCATCTATGTCTCCACCCCAATCGCTATCGCTATATCCAACAAGCTTGTAATCATTAGAAGTAGAATAGTGTAAGCCAAAGTTTATGGTACCTTTGATATAGCGAAGAATCCTCTTGGCCACCTTGAAATGAGTTGTTGTTGGATGCTCCATGTAACGACTAACAACTCCGACCGCATATAAAATATCGGGCCTTGTGCATGTTAAGTATCTCAAGCTTCCAACCAAGCTCTTAAAGGTTGTTGGATCCACTCCTTCTCCTTCTTCATTCTTTGATAATTTGATTCCGCATTCCATTGGTGTGGTCACCGGGTTTGAGTCATCCATCTTAAACTTTTTAAGTACCTCCTTAGCATAGCCTTCTTGAGTAATGAAGATTCCATTGTCTTCTTGTTTTACTTCAATTCCGAGGTAGTAAGACATCAATCCAATATCCGTCATCTCGAACTCCTGCGTCATCTCTTTCTTGAATTCTTCGAACATGCTTGGATTGTTACCCGTGAATATCAAGTCATCTACATATAAGCATGCAATCAATATATCGTCTTTTTGAATTTTGATATAGAGTGCATGCTCATATGGACACTTGATGAAGTCTTTCTCCTTGAAGTACTTGTCAATTCGAGTATTCCAAGCTCTTGGGGCTTGTTTTAATCCGTAAAGCGCCTTCTTTAGCCTCAAGACTTTGTTTTCTTCTCCTTTGACTATGTAGCCTTGTGGTTGCTCAATGTAAACTTCTTCTTCAAGGTCACCATTTAAGAAGGCCGACTTGACATCCATTTGATGTATCTTCCACTTGTTTTGAGCCGCTAGTGAAATGATTAGTCTAACCGTTTCTAGACGAGCAACGGGAGCAAATACTTCGTCATAGTCGATTCTGGCTCTTTGACTATAACCTTTGGCCACTAATCTTGCTTTGTATCTTTCCACTTCTCCTTTAGAATTTTTCTTTGCTTTATACACCCACTTCACACCTATCGCCTTGTGTCCATTTGGAAGTGAAGCTAGCTCCCATGTATCATTCTTTTTAATCGCCTTTATCTCTTCATCCATGGCATTTCTCCAAGTCTTCCTTTCAATGGCTTCTTGGAAGTCCATGGGTTCGCACTCCGCAAATAGACAAAATAAAGTAAGATTGTCTTGATTTTCCGTTACCTCGTAGAGCTCTTGTAAACTTCGAAAATGAGGAGTCCTCTCACTTGAGCTTTCTTCTGCTTGAGAACTTGTTGGTGTAGTAGGTTCTTCTCTTGGTGGCTCTTCTCTTGTTAGCTCCGAGTCATCTTCTTCAAAGTGTGGAAAGAAGTTATAATCTTCTTCAATTGATTTCCAATCCCATTCTCCTTCTTCATCGAAAACGACATTTCGACTAATTATTGTTTTCTTCGTATCGGGATTATAGAGCTTGTAGCCTTTGGAGTTGTTATCATAACCAATAAAGATATACTTCTCACATTTGTCATCTAGTTTACTCCGCTTCTCATCCGGTACATGAGCATGAGCAATGCTTCCAAAGACTCTTAAATGAGAAACACCGGGCTTCCTTCCGCTCCATGCTTCTTGTGGTGTTTTTCCCGAAACACTTTTTGTTGGAGATCGGTTTAATAGATAAACCGCACACGCGACCGCTTCCGCCCACAACTCTTTTGGTAGTCTCTTACTTTTAAGCATGCTCCTTGCCATCTCAAGAATTGTTCTATTCTTTCTTTCCGCTACACCGTTTTGTTGAGGGGATCTTGGCACCGTTAGTTGTCTTCGAATGTCGTTATCTTCACAATACTTTAAAAACTCCTTCGATGTAAACTCTCCTCCACGGTCGGATCTCATGGCTTTGATTGCAAGACCACTTTCCTTCTCAACATGGGCCTTAAACTTTTTGAAGTTCTCAAACACCTCGGATTTTTCTTTCAAAAAGTAAACCCATGTTTTTCTTGAAAAATCATCAATAAAGAGAAGGAAGTAGTTACTTTTACCAAGTGATTTGGGCTTGATTGGACCACACACATCCGTGTGTATTAGCTCCAACGGTTTTTGAGCTCTTGTACTTGACTCTTTCGGAAAGCTCATTTTGAATTGCTTTCCAAGTAGACATCCTTCACACACTTGATTTGGATGATTGATGCAAGGTAGTCCTCTCACCATTTCTTTCTTCGAAAGCAACTCCAATCCTCCAAAATTTAGATGCCCAAATCGAAGATGCCAAAGCCAAGACTCCTCCTTGTAGCACATCTTGAGACATTGTGCGATGTCATTTCGAATGTTAAGGACAAACATTCTATTTTTCGACATTGGCACCTTGGTAATGAGATTGCTTTCTTGGTCTCTTATAGAAAGGTTATTATCTTTTAGTCGAATATCATAACCTTTCTCTAAGAGTTGTCCAAGACTCAAGATGTTCGTCTTCATGCTCGAAATATAGTAAACGTTGGAAATAAATTGATGATCTCCATTCTTCAATCGGATGAGAATGTTTCCTTTGCCTTTTACCTCCATCTTCGATTCATCTCCTAAAGCCACATTTCCTCTCACCGATTCATCAAGCTCCGCGAACATACTTTTGCTCCCACACATGTGATTACTTGCACCACTATCAAGGTACCACTTATGATTCTCTTCATGTTCACCTTTCTTGTAACTAGCCATTAATAACATGTCTTCTTGGACTTGTTCTTCAACGTAGTTGGCCTTCTCCTCGACTTTTTTGTTGCTAGGAGCTTTACATTCGGAAGCATAATGTCCAAACTTCCCACAATTGTAGCATTTGACACTTGACTTATCATATCTTGATTTTGGACTTCCTCTCCCACGACCTCTTGATGAGTTTTCTCCTCTTTGGTTTGTGTTGTCTTCATATGGCCTCCAACCTCGTCCGTTTCCATATCCACGACCTCGTCCTCGTACTTGACCGCCGCCTCGTCTTTGGTAATTTTGGCCATTTTCTTCTTTAGTAATCCGCATCTTGAGGACTTGTTCGACGATATCTTCTTTCTTCTTCTTCTTTTCTTCATAAGCTTGTAATGACCCAAGAAGTTGCTCTATTGACATAGCCTCTAAATCTTTTGTTTCTTCAATGACGGTGACAATATGCTCAAATTTTGGATCCAACGATCTCAGAACTTTCTCCATGATTCTCACATCATCTAGCTTCTCTCCGTTTCTTTTAAGGTTATTAGTAACCGTCAACACTCTGGAGAAGTAATCCGAGACGAGTTCACCTTCCTTCATTTGCAATGCTTCAAATTCTCCTCTTAGAGTTTGAAGACGTACCTTCTTGACTTGATCGGCACCTTTGTAAGAGGTTCGAAGCTTCTCCCATGCTTCTTTGGCCGACGTAGCTTCAACGACCTTTTCGAACGTATCTTCATCTAATCCTTGATAGATTAGACAGAGAGCTTTCTTGTCTCTCTTTCTTGAGTCTCTCAAACCATCCTTTTGAGTTTGAGAAAGACTACCTTCATTCTCCGGTTCAATGAAACCTTTCTCGACTATCTCCCACACGTCATGTGCTCCTAGGATAGCCCTCATTCGTAGACTCCAATCATCGTAGTTGCTCTTTGTGAGCATTGGAACTTGGAAGGGAACATTGTTACTCGCCATCTTTAGGATCTTCAAGCTCTGATACCACTTTGTTAGAGTAAAATTCTTTTAGAGGTAATGGAGAAAGTGTTTAAGTGTTTGAGAGAGAGTTTTAGGAAATAGAACTTTTATTACTTTGATTTTAACTTGAAGACAACTTCATAATCTTACAACAAAATGAGAGAGGGAGAAGGTATTTATAGCCTCCAAACTACAAAATATCTAAAATATTTTAATCCTAAATCTAGAGAGTTCTTAACATAATATCTAGATTACAATATTCTAATTATCTAGATTATTCTATAAGAATATCTAGATTTTTATGTTTAAGGAGGTGGAAGATGATTCTAGAAAATTTCTAGAACATTTTAAGGAGGTGGTAATTATGATATTTCTAGAGAAAACTCTAGAACTTGGATTTGGCCCATCAAATGATTATTGGGTAATTGACCCAATAATTAAACTTGATTCAAAATCAAGTTTAACTTTCAACAATGGGCACATTCCATTCAGAGATCTCTTGCATTACTCAGTCTTCCATGAGAGGAAATGAAAGAATTGATTGTGAGTCCTGTACGAATCCATGTTGAGCAATCAAGAACCACAGATGCACAAATTAAATGTTTTTGTGGCTGATAAAGCACTTTAGTGAAACACTTTCATTATTTGCACTTTGTTTAGGAAGCTGAACAGGACAACATCTAAAATTAAACTACTTCCTAGTATTTCACTTGAGAACTGTTTTGATAGTAATAATAAACAAGAAAAGTGACTGCATTCTCGTTTGTAGGAAGCTAAAAGATCTCTTGAAGCGTAAACAACCCTCATCATATCTGCCTACTTAATATGCAAATGAGAGGAGAGCTGCTTTATGAGAAGATAACAAGAGCTTTTTGGAGGTAAGAAAATTCAAATTCAATTTCTATATATATAGTCTATTTTCTTCTGTTATTTGAACTCTTGAAGCTCATTTTGCGGAAGAATGGTAAGTATAGGTTACGAAGAATCGAAGATAACCGCAGAGGAGTGGAAGAACTTTTGTGCGGAACAGCAGGCTCCCCAGAAATAGGTCTGGTCCCATATAAATTGTATTAAGCAAGAGAAGTTAAGAAATAGTTTCTAATTTGAATGCATATTCTTGAAATTTTAATAGATGTCAAAGAAGAAGGATATATATACATGAAATGGAAGGATATAAAGGATGAGGATAGAGGAAGCCATGAGCCAAACGAAAGCAATTTCTCTGTAGATCTGACGAAGACTTTGCTGATTTTATAACGAGGTAACACATGATTCCATGTGAAAGTATGTGGCTATATGCACACCAATATAATGTATATGGTTTCGGATAATTAAGGAAAACATAATATATGAACAAGAGTAACTTGATGATCAATTAAGATTCTAATAAAAATGAAAGATTTTTGTGTTTTCTAGATTCTTCACTAAGGAGAGTAGGAGACTGAAAGGAATATGACTTTGTGAAGTCAAGTCTTTCAGCAGAATTGGCTTCAAAGTTGTTTATGATATCAAAAGTAACAAATAGTCTCTTTACTCTGCGTGTAAATTCAAGAATATACAGTATTTTTGCCTTGACATCTTCTCTGATATTTTTTCTCAAGGAAAAAGGCCGAAGAAGTTGACACCATAATAGACGCATTGCCTAAACTGGAGCAGTAAGTTATACAGAACATCTACCTAGGCGTAGCTAGTTCATTTGGTTTATAGCTCTCCAGAAATAGTCAAAATTGTAATCTTTTGTTAATGTTATAGGTAAATCGACTGTTTCTTTTTCAGCTGGCATTTATCGGAAATCTGATATCATGTAACATTGTGAGGTATGTAATACTTACTCTTATTCTTGGAAACTTTGAAATCGTAGAGACGTGAATGCAGTTCTATTTAATGGAAGCATACAAAAAAAAAAAAGAAATGGAAGCCATAGAAGTTTTTTGAAGGTGGTCAAAAGCAGAATACTATAAGAAGTGAAGACTCAACAAATGGGCCTAAAGTCGAAGCCCATCAGAGAACAGAGGCTGCAATGCTGATTCAAAAGAAGCCCAGCAACATGGTCTCTGCTTCAGTCAAAAGCAGAGTATCACGCCATTGTCGTGAAGCGAGTACGAACGAGCAACGTCACAAAATCAACCTGAGAAACAGTTTTGGCGTTCTCGGATCGTGTGCTGTCATGTGCAACTAGCCTGACACGCGTCATCTTTTCTATGATTACTTTCTTCTTTATATATCAAAACCCTTGTATGAGATAATTAAGTTGAATAAGAAAGTTTATCTTCTTCCATCTTCTTCAAGCTTTCCTTAGGGTTTTGTGAAAGCGTTCATGGTATCAGAGCCATGGATGGCTCTATTACTCCTTTTTCTCATTCCGCTATGAACATCTCTCATTGTGTCACTCTTAAGCTCTCTGAAACAAACTACTTGCTATGGAAAACGCAGTTCGAGTCTTTTCTCTCAAGTCAGATGCTTTTGGGCTATGTAACCGGAGCTACTCCTCGACCTTCTCCTACAACGGCGGTGAGGGACGGTGAAACGGTGACAGAGTCTCCAAATCCTGAGTTTCTCAAGTGGGTAAGAAACGACCAAAATGTTCTTACCTGGCTCTTTGGATCTCTCTCAGAGGAAGCTCTCCGCTCTGTTTACGGTCTTCACACGTCTCAGGAGGTATGGCTTACCCTTGGTAAGAAGTTTAATCGTGTGTCTGCAACTAGAAAGTTAGATCTGCAACGTCGTTTGAACAATCTGTCTAAGCAAGGGAAAACAATGACTCAATACTTGTCTGATGCTAAAGTTATTTGTGACCAACTTGATTCAATCGGGTGTCCTCTCACTGATCAAGAGAAAATTTATGGGGTCTTACACGGGTTAGGTCAGGAATATGAAACTATATCTACCTATCTTGAAAACTCCATGGATCAGTTTCCTGGACCAAATTTTGAAGAGGCTGGTTACCGCTTGATTAACTTTGATGATAAGATCCAAGGCTATAACTCTGCTGCTGTAACTCCTCATCTTGCGTTTGCTACTGAAAGCCACTCTTACAACCAAGGAAGAGGTCAGGGTTATGGTCGCTCTGGCTCTCGAGGGAAAGGTCGTGGTTACTCTACTAGGGGCAGAGGGTTTCATCAGCAGATCAACCAGTCCTCTGATTCAAGTTCTGAAAGACCAACTTGTCAAATATGTGGTAAATACGGTCATTCAGCCTTCAAATGTTACAAGAGATTTGATCATGCTTACCAGATGGATGACTTTCATCAAGCCATGGCTACAATGAAGATCTCTGATCAGTCTTCAGGGCATGAATGGGTGCCAGACTCTGCTGCAACAGCTCATATTACCAATTCAACTGCTCAACTTCAGAACACCCAACATTACAGAGGAGATGATGCTGTTGTTGTTGGTAATGGTGACTTCCTTCCGATTACACACATTGGTTCTATAGCTCTTCCCACCATGCAAGGTACTACCTTACCTTTAAACGATGTCCTAGTTTGTCCTGAAATAACAAAGTCCCTGCTGTCTGTCTCAAAACTCACGGCTGACTATCCTTGTTCTTTCACCTTTGATTCTGATGGTGTCATTGTCAAGGACAAACGGATCAAACAGCTCCTCACGCGAGGAAGCAGAACTAAGGACCTATATGTGTTAGAGAATCCTCAGTTTGCTGCATACTACTCATCAAGACAACAATCAACAACAGATGGGATTTGGCATCAGCGGCTGGGGCATCCTCACCAGAATGTTTTGCAGCAACTAGCTATCAATAAAGCTATAATAATGAATAAGACAAGTTCTTCTCTTTGTGATGCTTGTCAGTTGGGAAAAACTTGTAAACTTCCTTTTTCTGCATCAGACTTTGTCTCCAGTAGGCCTTTAGAACGCATCCACTGTGATTTATGGGGGCCAGCTCCTGTTGTTTCTTCACAGGGTTTTCGATACTATGTCATTTTTATTGACAATTTTTCAAGGTTTACTTGGTTTTATCCATTAAAGCTCAAGTCTGATTTCTACTCTACTTTCATTTTGTTTCAACAAATGGTGGAGAACCTTTTTATGCAGAAAATTGCTAACTTTCAGTGTGATGGAGGAGGTGAATTCATTAGCACAAAGTTTCAGAGTCATCTCTCACAATGTGGCATCAAACAGCTCATCTCCTGTCCTCATACTCCACAGCAGAACGGTCTTGCTGAAAGAAAGCATCGCCATATCACTGAACTTGGTCTTTCAATGATGTTTCAGAGTAAAGTTCCTCAATACTTGTGGGTAGAGGCTTTCTTTACTGCATCATTCTTGGGAAATCTCTTACCTTCCTCAGTCTTACCAAACAACAAGAGTCCTTATGAACTTCTAATGGGTAAAGCTCCTACTTATACCTCTTTAAGAGTTTTTGGCTCAGCTTGCTATCCTTACTTAAGGCCATACTCAGCTAACAAATTTGATCCAAGATCTCTGTTATGTGTCTTCTTGGGATACAATGAGAAATATAAGGGGTATAGGTGTCTCTATCCTCCAACTGGCAGGGTCTATATATGCAGACATGCTCTCTTTGATGAACTTCACTTCCCTTTTCAAAAAGAGTATGCTTCCTTTATTTCACCAACAACTTCTTCTCCTCTCTTGACTGCTTGGCAACAAAGTTTTCTGCAGTCTTCTCAACACAGTACTATCACTCCTCCTCAAAACTCAAATGTAAGTGCTCCGGTGACTGCAGTGGTACAGGAATGTCCTGAGCGTACGACAGCCTTTGATGCTGCTTCTATTGGCGACAGCGTTTCTATACCTACTGCTAGTTCTCCTCAGCACATACCATCAGAGACTCCTAGCTCTCCGACTACACCTCACTCAACATCATCCTCAGCTACACCTGCAATAACTCCATCATCAATATTTTTAGAAGAAGACTTCCCTCCTCTGGTTAGTTCTCCAAGTGTTCAAGCTTCTCCTAATGTTCAAGTTTCTGCATCAGAAAACAGTCACTCTATGGTTACTAGAGCTAAGGATGGGATTCGCAAACCTAATCCTAGATATGCTCTACATACTGTCAAGAGTAATTATCCAGAACCAAAGACAGTAAAAACTGCTCTCAAGGATCCCGGATGGAAAGGTGCTATGACAGAAGAAGTAGACACTATGCATGAGACAGAAACATGGGATCTTGTTCCACCAGAAGAAGAAATTCAACCATTGGGTTGTAAATGGGTCTTTAAGACTAAGTTGTGTGCAGATGGTGCCCTGGATAAACTCAAGGCTCGCTTAGTAGCAAAGGGATATGAACAAGAAGAGGGTGTTGATTTCATTGAGACTTATAGCCCTGTGGTTAGAACAGCTACAATCAGAACAATTCTACACAGAGCAACAATAAATAAGTGGGACATTAAGCAACTTGATGTCAAGAATGCTTTTTTACATGGGGATTTAAAAGAAACAGTTTACATGGTGCAGCCTCCAGGCTTTGAGGATCCAAGCAAGCCTGATTACATATGCAAGCTAAAGAAAGCTATTTACGGTCTTAAGCAAGCTCCACGCGCCTGGTTTGACAAGTTTAGCTCTTTTCTTATAGAGTTTGGCTTCACCTGCAGTTATCCAGATCCCTCCTTATTCGTGTATATCAAAGGAAGTGATGTGATGTACTTACTCCTCTATGTTGACGATATGCTACTCACTGGAAACAACACAAAGCTTATCAGTCAACTTTTGGCCAGTCTAAGTACCATCTTCAGAATGAAGGATATGGGTCCCTTACACTACTTTCTGGGAGTCCAGGCTCATTTTCATGACAAAGGTCTGTTTCTCAACCAAGAAAAATATGCTACAGATCTTCTTATATCAGCAGGAATGGCGGATTGTGCTCCTATGCCAACTCCCTTACCTCTGCAACCCGGGAAATTCTCAGAACAGTCTAAACCCTTCTCAGACCCGACTTACTTTAGAAGTTTGGCAGGTAAACTTCAATACCTTACTCTGACAAGGCCTGACATTCAATTCTCTGTCAATTTCGTGTGTCAAAAGATGCATGCTCCATCAGAGGATGATTTCAACTTGCTCAAGCGGATACTTCGCTATGTTAAAGGGACTCTGCAAATGGGAATAAATCTCTCCAATTCCACGGATTCAGTTCTCCGTGTGTATAGTGATAGTGACTGGTCGGGATGCAAGGATACTAGTCGCAGCACAGGAGGATTCTGTACCTTTCTCGGAGAAAATATCATCTCTTGGTCATCAAAACGCCACTCCACAGTATCTCACTCATCAACAGAAGCAGAATACCGCACCATGTCGCTTGCTTCTCGAGAAATCATGTGGCTCAACTCTCTTCTTCGGGAAACTGGAGTTGCACAACCTGTTACTCCAGAGATGTATTGTGACAACCTGTCTGCAGTCCATCTTACCGCAAACCCTGCTCTCCACTCAAAATCAAAACATTTTGCAAGAGATTTTCATCATGTGCGAGAACAGGTTGCTCTAGGTGCTCTTATTGTGAAGCACATTCCGGCGCCTCTCCAGCTTGCTGATATTTTCACCAAATCCCTACCACAACAGGCATTCTTCGACCTTCGTTTCAAACTTGGACTTTGCTTACCACCGACGCCAAGTTTGCGGGGGAGTATAAGAAGTGAAGACTCAACAAATGGGCCTAAAGTCGAAGCCCATCAGAGAACAGAGGCTGCAATGCTGATTCAAAAGAAGCCCAGCAACATGGTCTCTGCTTCAGTCAAAAGCAGAGTATCACGCCATTGTCGTGAAGCGAGTACGAACGAGCAACGTCACAAAATCAACCTGAGAAACAGTTTTGGCGTTCTCGGATCGTGTGCTGTCATGTGCAACTAGCCTGACACGCGTCATCTTTTCTATGATTACTTTCTTCTTTATATATCAAAACCCTTGTATGAGATAATTAAGTTGAATAAGAAAGTTTATCTTCTTCCATCTTCTTCAAGCTTTCCTTAGGGTTTTGTGAAAGCGTTCAAATACCGCAATGGAACTAGCTAAAGCTAAGTAATTAATATATTTCTAAACAATTAAAGGGAAAGATGACTACACTTTTTAATCAACAACTAATTTTATAGGAATGTATTATGGCTGGATAGTAATAATCAGCAAGAAAAGTGACTGCATTCACGTTTTGTAGTCAACTCAGGATCGTGTGAAGCCGGAACAGCTCATTTCTCTCTTTATTTTTACCATTCCCTCGTGATAATATATATATATATATATATATATATAAAATTTTTTTAACTAATTTCATTCTCTCTTTATTTATATATATATACTAGATCATGACACGTACTATAGTACGGGTTAATTTTGTTTAGTACAATATTTTATATATTATATATTTTACAATAAAGTTTTGATATATTATAGTAGTAAGTGAAAAAGATATTTCTTTTTTTAAGTACATATATATAATTTTTATAATAAATATATTTTCCTTTTTATATAATACTCAATTATGGATAATTTTTCTTAAGATATGAAAACGGAAAGTAATATTCTTTTAAGAAATTAATATTATTTGAAAATGAGTTAATTTATATTAACAACCACAAAATGAGATTGCATATAATTCAGTTAGATCAAAAATCAAAATATCATAAATGAGTCGCATCTAAAACGTAGATTATTTTGAGTTAATTAAGGAAGTTAACTATGATTTTGAATTAATTTAGGAAGTTCATTTTTCTATTTGTAATTTTTTGATTGTTGAAATAGAGTTTTTTTTTTTTAGCTAATTACGGAATTTAGCAATTATTCGCATAATCGAATATATTATGAACATGTTTTTAGTATATAATAATATCAAATTCAACCCGAGCGTGAAGTATATTTTCATTTTAGAATCTCAATGAAAAAATTGCGTCCACAATCCATCATTCGTTATTTTCAAAATTATTTGCAGAATCAAATTTCAAATATTTAGAAGTATCAAACCTTATTTAACCATCTCATCATATAATCTTAACATGTCGTCTGTTATAAGGATCATAACACTTTTTATCATATAATACATTATATTTAACCCATTGCCTGCTATAAATATTTTAAATAACGTAAATTCGTAATTTGTCCGCCAAAAAATATTCATAATTTTTAACCAAAAAAAATCTCCAATTTTATTTAGTTATGAAATAATATTTAAGATTACAAAATAAAATAAGATTACACTTTTCAGTGGATTTAATAAACAAATGGTTTGAACTAAAACAAGAAATATGAGATCTATAAAAGAAAAACTGGAAGTAGTCATAGAGCATAGTTTACAAGATATTATTGATTTACAAAAGTCATTGCACTATTTTTTACAAGTAATTTTGGCAAATTAAAAATATAAAAAAGAGTGTAAAGATAGTAGCACCACACTTCCAGATGCATCTAATAATTACCCGCACGCATTAGCATATCTCTCACAGGTGTCTAATGAGGAAGTCTATTAGAAACAAAACACCCAAAGCATGTCTCATCACTTGACCAGCTTTTGTCTTCTTCCCACAGACATCTCCACTCTCCTTTGTCTTCTCTCCACAAACCCTAATCACTCTTAGCACATAAATCACATCTTTTTCAAAACTATATTAATTTATTCTTTTACTAATTCTAATCAATATGTCTTGGCAGCTTTTGATATTTTCTTAGCAGACAAACACACTTGAGCTGTTTTCTTTCTATAAATACTCTGTTTTCTATTGATACCTTGTAGATCTCTCTCATGGCATTTCCTCAGAAAAAACGAACACCTTCTTTCTCTTCCTCTGTTCTTGACTCTGTTTACCGTTCTATCGACGAATCCGACGGTCTCCAAAGTGACCTAAGAGGATCCATCAACGAAAATGTATCTTCATCATCATCTTCACCTTCACCAAACAAGAAAGACGACAAGCTTACAACTCTCCGGCGAGCAATCATTGACGAAGAACACTGGCTTTACGCCCGAAGCAGCACCACTACCACTAATTCCTCGGATTCCTCTGCTTTTTCCTCTTCCGAGGCAGAGTCATATCGAACAAAGAGAAGGTTGAGAAAGCTTGCGGAACAAGGTAATAGATCAGGTGATGAGAGACAGAGAACAAAGAGAACGTCGGTACTAGATAATGATAGATTCATCTCCAAGTCGGATAATGATAAAAAGCTTAAAGCCATGACGATGATCGAGGAGATAAAGAGACCGAAGCAGCCAGTGTCTCCTGGAGCGCGTCTCACCAGCTTCCTCAACTCCATCTTTCAATCTAACGCCAAGAAAGTGAAGCTTTGTTCTGTCGGTAAGACCACAGACGTCAAGTCCTCTTCCTCATCAAAGTCTTGCTTCAGTCGAACAAGATATAAAACCGACAACAACAACAACAACTGCCAGAAGTTGGAAAGATCTATCAGATTCTATCCCGTTAGAGTAACTATCGATGGAGACTACAGAGACTCTGTTCACAAAAGCATTACTCGCGAGAGAAAACCAATTCCAGAATTTACTGCCAAGAAGAGTATCAAAGAGGAGATTAAAACCAAAGATCATCACACTGAGTTTACTTGCATCACAAGAAAGATCGGTTTGAAGGATTTTGTGAGAAGTAACAAATATGAAGGTAAAGAAGATGAGGATGATGTTTGGAGTTACTCGAGTTCTGATCTGTTCGAGCTCGATAGTTACCGGATCGATATGGGGCGGTACTTAAAAGAACTTCCGGTCTATGAAACTACTGATTTCAAGATAAATCAAGCTATCGCTAAAGGCTTGGTTTTGTAGTCTTTTTATTACTTTTTTTTTCGTTATCACTGAAACCAGTTTACTAATTACCCCAAAAGAAGAGATCAATTTACTAATTCTATATTTTGTTGCATCAATGTCACGTGCCCGGTTTTGCGATTACTAGCAGCAGGTCTGGCTCATTAAAACATTGGACCCTGCAAAAATCTGTTTAAAAAAAAAAAAAAATCTAATTCTCAAAATTGTAGCAAAATGTGGACCCTTAAATATAAAAATATTTCATCCTGCCAAAAATATATATATATTAAAATATTTGGTTAAAATATTGTAGATCTTGTGCATTTCCTCTTAGGTACATTCCAAGAAAATGTGCTTAACTAGGAGTACCAAACGAAACGAATTTATAATTTGTATCATCCACATTCGTACGTGGTCATCTAAATTGTTATCACTTATCACCTAGCTACGAATTGCGAAATATTAAAAAAAGATATGGTCATGTATGCTTATTATGTGGCTATATAACAATTTTTTGAACAATTTCTAACCAATCTTTATAAACTGCGATACATCCACGTTGTGCTTGTATAATTGAGAATCCAAAGTCTTAATATTGTCTTGTTTGCGATATATTCTAATGGTGATTCCATTGTCGATCGGTTGCGTCTGATGAAACTATATATATTCAAGAGTGGCTTACGGCTGAGGTCATCTTATTCATCGGAAGAAAACTGATTAGAAATTTTGATTAGATATTTTAGAAAAAAAAACAAGAAGAAAAATTATGTTTTTGAAAAGAAAAATTAGCTAGGTAACCTTTTGATTTTCTCTTATTATATCACCATGATGTGTTTGATGAGAGATAATATATATATATCATCAATAAAATCTTACAAGCCAACGATGCATTTTAAATTTGTGGTACGTATTGTACAAGAACAGATACATGTAATTCTTTTTTTTTATTAATTTATGTAATCAATGACCCATAAGTATTATTACATGGACAGATGCATGTGCATTAAAACAAGTTCTCTTATCCCCCAAAGAGAACTCTTCACAATACAGCTTATTTTGGTTGTGTTATTGGTTACATCCACTTTCTATTTCTTTCTTGTTTCTGTAAGTTATATGTTTTGTCTTTGTCTTAAAAAAAGTCCACGATTCCATGTAGTCTAATCTGACTCCTACAAACGACATTACTTTAATGATGCACAAATTGTTATATTAAGTTTTTCATTCAAAAAATAAAGTTAAATTAAATTTTTCTTGCAGCGAAAAAAAAAAAAAAACACAAAATTTGCGGAAAGATGATATACAAAATAAGATCAACTGGGAAATTAAACTGCGCCATGCATGATGAATAATTGAATATCATCTTTTTGTTAACCGTGAGAATTTTATACCTAAGTCCAAAACTTATATTTTGATTCTCCAAGGTCCATAGAAATTTTTTGTGAATGAAAGCGTCTACGAGTGGCCAAAGATGATTGAATCACAGTGGAAGGACTCGAACTCTTCAACAATTGGACCACCACAATTTGGTTATAATATAGTATCATATAGTATAATATATGTATGAATTTAAATTATTTATCTATTATAACTCATGATATATATATCAAATTCATATAATCTCTTTTAAATTTATTTTAAAATTTCATGAACATCTAACTCAATATAATTGGCAATGGATAGATTGATTCATATCTCTTATAATTTTTTTTAGAACACATCAAATTTTTGATATGAAATTCCAAACTTTTGTACTCGATATTATTCGTTCATTATAATAAAGTCATGTATTTGTCATCAATAGTTTTCATATGTTTCAAACAACTACTACCTGCAAACAATAACTACAACTATTTTTTGCTTTTGCAGAACCATGGTGAATTATGCAAAATCAGTAGCAAGAAAATGTATTATTCAGGCTTAAAAGTTTTTAGCTCGGTCCTACGCCCAAGCCACTGGCCCAAAAACATGGATATTGTTCAAGAGAAGACGTTTTACTTCCTCAAGAAATCTACACGCTTCGTTTTGTTAACAAAGTAATAAGCTAAGTCAATCTGGATTTGTAGGCATATTCTCTGTTATTGTATGTCGCATTAACCGAGAATCACGAAATGTCGATAAGGAGATCATGCTTGGAGGCAAACGAATAGGGTTTCATGCATTTAATAATTGAAACTTATGTTCGGGTCAGAGATGGTCTTATAACAACAAAGGTTTTGATTAAGCACACAATTGTTTAATCTGCGGTCAAAGACATCCTAAGAGAAGAGCCACAACAGGTCAGATGAATTTAAGAGAAAACTGCGAGTCTTAGAATCATTTACGGTAATCGAAGGAACCCAATGATGCGGTGTGTAGCTTTAGTGACCATATTTCTGGAATTCCCACTCCCTGCTATCTGTTGAAAACGGAACAAGAAGCAAAAACAATGAGAAGAGAAAACGGAAAAGAAGAAAGAAGCTAGTTGATCAGAAGAAAACATACCAAGTGGACACTTTTGTTGATTCTTGAGCCATCTGCTGATACAGTGGAAGTGAAAAGCGTGGTTGCAAATCCCTACAATTCAACAATGGCATGTTTCTTTAGCAGTCTCGGATATTAAACATTAAACCTAGAGATGTTGACTTTTCTAGTGTATCAATTACACAAAAGATACATATATATTTGCTCTATTATTGGCAAACGAGGATTCATCCTAAGAGGCTACAAATATTTGAAGTTTGACTGATGATTGATATCTAAAGACAATACATGAATCCAGAGTCATAAGACACATCAAATATAGTCACAATCTGAGTTATGGTCCCAATGCAAAACTTAAAAAATATGCAAAAATATTTCTAGAGATTTATCTACTACATGTATTTGAAACTCAGCAATGGCCTAGAAGTGTCCTATTATAAAGATGTGATACAGAGGTAAAAAGGGTAAAAAAAAACTATATCTATCTCAATTTCAGGCTTGTAATCGAGACATAGGCTACGAATGATCAAAAACTGTTACCATAAAAGAACACAGCAAGCACAAATGTTCTCATCTGCTAATCTTTCCTTTGTTGGCCAAAACAATAACTAAGTTTGCACAAGTAGACTCTCTTACAAGCAGCCACAAACCAAAACACAAAGGGACAAATACTAGTATCTTATAAACACCAACTGATAAATATTCATGACGAGTTCCACATGGTTCAAGTAAATACATATCATACACATTACACACATTCTCATAGCATTGAAAATAAACAAGGACTCCAAACTAGATGATGAATCAGTGCATTCTTAAGATAAGAGAACATTCAATCAGCAGATTACATAGCTCAATGGAGAAAGAGAACTACAAACAAGGATATGCGACACCAAGAAGCAAAGAAGCTAACCTAACTCTAGCCAGAAAAACGTTTTGCCACTCTTCTTGATTTACTCAACTTGTTATTGTAATCTCAAAGACAAGTAACTCAATAAATGTCCAGAATCAACAAATCAACACAAAGAAACAGAGGAAGTTGCGTGTTATACAAGTTTGCAAACAGAGCCAATATTGAAATTTTTGTTTCAATTGTGAAAACTTATTTTTTAAAATACGAGATAAAGCAATGAGATCTAAATAAAATTAATGTTCTGGATGTTATAAATTTTATAGTTTTAGCCTTAAACACTTGATATTTCGAAGAGAAAATAATTTATTTTGACAATAAATAACAACGATTATAGAATTCACATATACCAACGATATACAGAAATTAAAATTCACAAATAGTGACATCTATTGTTGTATTTTAAAAACCTATACGACTATTAAAACCAAAATTATGCATATTCAAAATTTGAAAACTTACAAAACTTTTGACTATTTTTATGAAAAACACTAAAATTATTATTATATATATATATATATATATGTGTGTGTGCAAATTTATATGATTATTAATTTATGATATTATTGGGACTATATTTTTATATAGGGATTTCAAAAAACTTATTATCTTATTATCTTATCGAATTTGGTTAATTTTTACACTGGCCCGACTCGGGACCGGCCAAATTTATTAATTTATCGTGTTTATTAATTTATCGAGTATTAATTTATAGAGGTTCTACTGTACTATGATATATATTTAAAATATTCTATGTAAAACATTTAATAAAATATGACTCTATTATTCGAAAAAAGTTTGTGTTGTTTTTTTAAACTTAATAATTGCTTCTCTACTTGTAATAAGTTCTAAAAGATATTACTTATAAAGAAAAAAATTATTAGATAGAAATATTTTTAAGAAATTACATAATTAGTAAAATCTCTCTATAAATTAATAATTATTAATTTATCGATAAATTAATAACTCTCTAAATTAATATAATTTGCTAGTCCCAACAATATTAATTTATAGAGGTTTTACTGTATTAATTTGCCTCAATTGCCATATATTCATTAGATATGAATATCACATGCTATTTTTAGAAAAACATCGTGATTCGAAATATTTTTTTTATAATTGATATGATATAACATCGTTAAGAAATTAGTTTGCTTGATGAGAAAATATGAGACGATCTATTTGTTTATTTAAAGGTGACTATTTACAATCTTTTTTGTTATAGGATTATTAATTGATTGTATAATTTTCTTAATTTTTTTCTATTTTTAAATCTCTCAATTTTTTTTCCAATTAGAAATATGTGATGATTTAATTAAACTAATCCTCATATTATTTATTTGAGTTTATTTTTCAATTAGTAATATGTGAGATCAATTTTTTTTTACTTAACTGTTTTTTTTGTTTGTCTCAATTATGATTGTAGTATAGTTAGATTATTTATTTCAATTTCTTTTTTCATATTTAAATTATCAAAGATTCATATATCATCGTGTCTATAATTTTATTGCTAGATGGAAAAAACACTTATGAAAATATATGTACAATTTCTTTATAATTAGCTTTTTACATTTTAAAACGGTTTAAATTTATAATTTTTTATAATTATCTTTTTACTTTTTTTTTCTTTTTAAAAGGAAAAATTATTTGACACATGTCAAAATCTTAGATCGAAAAATTTGACACATGTCACGATCTCGTGAGTTATTAACTTTGAAAACTATACTTTATATAATAAGATATATATATATTAGTCTATAAAATTAATTTTTCAATTGTTTAAATATTACGATGATTTTTTGGGGTCTCAATAAGTGTCACGAATTCAGGTGGACATCGTTTAGCCATCTTCAGTTCACATCTTATGATATGAGATCTATAATTATTGTTAGACATCAACAATAGAGTTTGAGTTCACATCATTCATTACTAGTGAGTGACACACATAATAAGTCTTTAAAGCATAAATATTTAAGTAGCAGAGTTCTTGCGAATCTTCAAATATCCAAACTTGCCAGCTCCTGGAGATGATCCTTCAAACACATACGGCATAAACCCTGTTGCTTCCTTGTACTTTTTCTGAATCTGCAAATTCATAAAAAAATCTTAAATTAACCTTTTGGTTCTATCTCCAATAATCATGTGATCAATCAAAGTTGTGATTCTTTTGACCTGAAGAATCTGTTCACTGCTTCTCAAACTAGCCTTTCCAATAACGCAAACCGTACCGCCGCTTCCACCTCCAGTAATCTTGGCCCCGTAAAGAGTCCCGTTCTCGGTTTTAGAACTCTTCAAGTTCTCCATATTCTGCACTAATCTCACTAATCTGTCTGTTCCATCAGAGCCAATCCCACACGCACTGTAGCTATCGTGGCACTGCCAAGTAAACATACGATTAACGGTTAACTAAATAGCAGAACCTCGATTATAAGAGCCGTGTTTGGTTTGTAAAACTATATATTTACCTGGTACATAAGCTCCCCAAGACCAATGACTTGTTCTTCTGAAGGAGTTGCTGTCAACAATGCTTTGAAAGCCTGAGAATGAGATCATTTTTCTTACATGTCCACAACTAAAACTTAATATCATCAAAATGATTCTATATATACAATTAGATTAGTTCACCTGGACACGGAAATTTTCATAAATTGGATGTCTAGTCGGCGCCATTATGGCGTATGTACCATTTCTGTCAATGGTTGTGACAGAATCCCCGTGATCACCATACTTCTCAATGAATTCTTCTCCCGTGATAGACTGTGGGAGCTTACTTGCGTAAAGAGCTTGAAATCTGCGAAAGATTGAAAAAAAAAATCGATATAGTCTAATTGTGTAACACTGATGTTATATAAATAGCGGGATTCATAGTACCTATGAGGTGAAAGGTTGCATAAGTAATCCAAAGAAGCATCGGATTCAATTAACTCCGAGCTCTCCTCTTCAGCCTCTTCTGAGTTGGTGTCAATAAAAGAAGATGCAAAAGATCTTATCATTGTCTTACCAATAAAAGCTCCTATCCTCACTGAACCATAGTCTGAACCACCAACACTGCATAGTAAAAAAATGTGTTCAGAACAAATGTAAACTTTAACTCTCTTGTATTTTCTTGGGATGCTGCACATCTAAAGGAAGAATATACACAGCACCTGTGTCGTATTCCAGAATCGATACCCCAGAATCGAATGTGGGAAGGAATTTCAACAAGTCCTAGTATTTCAGCCGGCTGCAACGAGTACAATCACCGGTTATTACTCTTCTAAAAGAATCAAGTTTTTGTAGGAAACGAAGAGAGAAAGTACCTGACAGATCATTGCCAAAAGCTTGTTAGCTTCTCCACAAGCAGAAGCCATCTGATCCATCACTCCACAAGGTGCTCCAACAACATAATTCTCCACTTTTTGGCAAAGCAAAGCTACATCTCGTGGAGATATTACAAGACCTGCACATTCAGCTCAATGAATCATTTACTCGTTAATTAGTTATTGTGGAGAAGTTGTACTAACCATGAGCAGCAGCAACAGCTGACATGGTAGCAACTTCAACTGAAGCAGAGGAAGATACTCCTTTGCCTTCAGGAACCGTTGAAGATACCTGAAACGTGGATGTAACTGATTAGCTCTGAGTTAGACTCGTATATACAATGCTGATCATGAAAGTCAGAAAAAGTTCTGTTACCAGTATGCTAATGCTGTCTTCAAATCGAACGCCCATCTCTCTCATTAGTACCAGAATTGTACCTGCAACATATGCCGCCCACCTAGAAATGGACTCAACGTTATAATATATCAAAAACTTTACGATGAAGTATCAAAAAAATGGGGTGAAATAGATGAACCAACTTCTGAGACGGATCCCGTGAAAAGTAATGGTAGGCTTTCTCATAGGATATTGGTTTCCCATCCTCATCCATTAAATCAGACAAGTCCATGTCAAAAGTTGGCCCTCTGTTGCTCAGCTCAGATCCAAATGAAACCTGAAGTTTCAAAAAAGTTTTAGAAAAAGGCAACGTAGATCAGAAAGTAGAAAAGAACATACAATTTCAAGTATGGGAGTGTCTCTTGAATGATGTCGTGCTTCAGCGTGCTTCCAGAGTTTCTGTTTACTTGGATGATTCCTCTGTACAGCAGCATGACATGCCTCTCTCGTAGGCATCTAACCAATAACAAATAAAAACACTCTTCTGTTAAAGATAAATAATTAACACCATTAAAGATGAATCTTGGAGAGGGAGTTAACCAGCAAGACAAGACTTCCAGAGTAATCAGCAATGCCTCCCATTACATCAAGTCTTCCGGGTGCTCTCGCCACAACAATATCCTCCTAAATGGCCACACAAACTTCATTAGTTTCTCAAAACACACACAAACTTCATTAGTTCCTCAAAACACACAAACTTCATTGAATCCAAGAAATGGAACAAACCTCCCAGTTGAAAAGTGCGGCAGCCGCCAAATGCTCCCTTTCTTGATGATGGCCTCCTATTTTAGCTAATGTTGCCAAACTATCCAAGAAACCGATTGTATCTGAAAGACCAAGGTGATCTCCATGAAGAATTTCAAAGCCTTCTACAAACCTGTGAATAAAACACATAAGAGGTGAGTCCAATTTAGTCACATTTGAAAAATTACAAGTCCACAAGGAAACAAACTTGGAAGATTTCTGCGTCTGATCAACTGAAGGAATCCCAGCTTCGTTTCCAGCGACTTGATACCATTCCGGAACTGAAAGATCTCTTCCTGGAGCTCTTTGTAGCTGGAAGCCTAATATTATTGCATCTCGGAGTCTCCTCGCCCCGCTAAGCTACATTATCAAGGTGAGTACCATTGGATTGGCATTACAAATGACTCACTTTCTTAGATGACTCCATAAATTTGAATCTCTCAACATAATTTAAAGTATCATCAATTAACATTTTCTTCCTTGTATCACTCACATTGAGTTTGGAACGCTTCTTCCCCATTGCTGTGTCATGCAGTATTTTAGCTGCGACCTGAATTTAGAGACAAGCAGGAGCAATGACATCATCAACCGGGAAAATTGAGAACTATCATATTACAGTACAAGAACAATTGGCTGGTAATATGAAGAGTTTTCACAGTCTACCTCGCCACCATCAATGCCTCCATCGTAACACGGTTTCAATGTAACTGCACGCTCAAGATAAGGAGCCCAGCATCCAGCTAGAAGATCCCTTCTGATCATTTCAACTCCACCTTGGTAATACTTTTAATGCAAAAAAAAAAGAAGAATTTTCAAGAAATGCAAAACATTTAAATAAACATAAATGCAGACTTTGTGTATATAACCTCAAGCATCTTTCTCAAGAATGGTTCTTCATTAAAGTAATCCCTTCGCACAAATATGAACCGTAACTTGTATGCAAGTGCTTCACTCACGGTTCCATATCCAATTTTTCCTGAAATTACCACCATTGTTAGCCGTGAATTAGTTAATCAGCGCAATGTTATGGTCAAAAACTCATATATGATACCTAGCATGCAGTCTGAAGCAGCAATCACATCAGGAGTATAAGCATCTTTTGGAAGTGCTATGAAATTTGGGGGAAGCTCCTGTTTAGCAGAAGCTCCACAGACCTATATATGGCATGGAATTTTCATTTGTTATCTTATTTAAAAATCAACCAACAATACCAAAACCACATAACGGAATCTTGATATTACCAGGCATAACCAACCAGCTGGTAGATATTCCTCCTTCAGTGTCCAACCAGTTGGCTGAAAATTCACAGCAGCAATATATTTTAAACAAATAACTCAAATTTGAATTTTAAGATTAAAAGCTATAAGAGAATTTGCTTACTTGCCCACCAAAGTTGAAGATGAGTAGTTTCACATTGTCTGGAACTCCAAGCTCTCTCCTAACCTGAAATGAATCTGAATTTGGTTAAATCTGACAAAAGACATGTCCATTATTAAGCACTGAAAGTGGACTCTGGTCAGATCTGACAAAAGACAAAAAAACTAACCTCTTGTCTAGATTTATGCACTGGCCTCACAACAAGGGGAATATCAATAACATCATGAAACGCAGGCACTGCAGAAGAACAAGAGATGGGGTTTGTTTTGGTATGTTATACAGAAAAAAAAAACAATGGAAATATGTGTATAACTTACTAGGACAGTATCCAGGGAGGCGTATCAGAAACTCGCAGTGCGAATAATCCTCGGCTATCTGAAGAAATTACCATTGATGAATAGAGAAATCCGATTTAGGCTTATCGTATCAATTGAGAGTTACCTGCCAAACAATGGATCGGTGATGATGTCCCGCTGCCATTACATATTCTGCATATATGAAGTCCCAACTGCAATGATCACAATTCACAATTATGAGAAAACAAACTTTCTTGAGAACTGAAGGCATCTACCGATAAATCAGCCCACTGACCTGAAGTTGGTGACGCAGACAGAGCGGATTCCGGCATTTGCTGCAGCACGACAAGCAATGGGGACAACATCTGAGACCTGATGGGATCAATATCTTCTTAGTTAATTAAGAAGCCGCACACACGATAAAAAAAATATACAAGATTATATTGAAAACATTTCTATAGTACCACAAGGTTGGCTTTGATGGACTTTAGCCACTCAACCTCTGTGGCTAAAATAGAGTCTCGAGGTTCAACTGCAATCTCGCAATACTGCAAATTGACGGAAAAAGATTGATTCAGCTAAGCACCTAATGGTCTAGAGGAGAAAGAGGAAACTGGAAGGGACCTTCTCCAAGGAAGCACGACGATCTACGGTTAAAGCATCAGCTTGTACAGATCCACAATCCAACAGTACCTAACATCATCTCCATACATTATAAAAAAAAAATTGGAGATCCATCTTTGGATGTATCAGAGTGAAACTCAGAACAAATATTTCTATGAAATTACCTTCCGGATAAAGAGATTTGGTGAATGAATCTCCATGGTGAAAACAAACTCCGGAGCAGCAGAGACAACATGAACTCGATGTCCAGACGATATCAGATGCCGGACCACCTAAGGCCATTACATGAAGAAATTAAAGGGATCAAGAATGTTATGATCTCAGGCAATAACATCAAGAATACTAACCTCCACGACACGAGTGGCGTGACCAAATCCATGGCCAGTAACGTAGTAGGCAAAAACCAAAGACGACCGTGATGAAGCAGCAGATTCAGACTCAGACATTGTGGAGATGTTTGAAGCAGAAGGTGGGCCTCACACAATGTTAAATCGACGAATCTTTACAGGTTTTTGATTTGTTGGTTAGCCATAAATGGGAGAAATCAGAAGATGATAAGATAAAAGCAAAATAGATATGAGTAAGCGTTACATAAGCTAAATATGGAGTCTACCGATTTTTTCTAACAACTTAAATCTTCTCTGGCCCTTTTCTTACGTGTTGCAGAGGAAAGCTGTCATTTTTTTTTGTTCTTCAACAAACCAAAAAGCATTAGCTTCCAAATTCTTTTCTAACTTCTATTCTTTTTTCCTCTTTAGTTTTTTTACCTGCAACTTTTTTTAGAATCAAATGATATGAATGATCAAAAAGAAATATGACATTGAGTAAACGTGAAAATAAATTTCATATATTATTGCATAAGTTATTGGAGAGAAATGTTACGAGAATTTAAGGCGTTTTTTTATCTGTTGATATTTTTAAGATTTTGTTTTGCTATATATACATGTTGACAGGGTGTTTTTTAAAAATTCAGAAATAGCACGGCAAAATTTGTTAAAAAATAAGTTTGTCACAATTGGAATAATGGACACATTTCAACCCAAAAAAATAATAGAACGGCCCATTATGATTTGTTTATATCAAAACATCAGAACACAAATCAAATGTTTTTTAATAATCAAACACCAGTATGTTTAAGTTTAAACAGACCAGTCTTCTTTAATTCACAAGCTTCTAGAAAAGGTAACAAAAGAAAGATTCATAAAATGGAAGATAAAGCTAGGTTTCAAAGTTAGGCACAACCATTGGCCATGACAGTGGTGTGGTTAACTATTTTAAGAGAGACCCTAAGATTTTGTATAAGACAGATCAGAACTAGAAAGCCTGACCTAGTACTGCCTCTGTCTTTTGCCTGGAGTGTTTGTAGTTTGAGCCGCCGAAGTGCAATCTCTTGCCCAATGTCCTGGTTTTCCGCATTTGTAACAATCTCCACCTGAGGTTGTGGACTTTGCTTGCCTTGATTGAAACTGTGGATCACCAGATTGACCGGTGCAGTCTTTCGCCCAATGTCCTTGCTTCCCGCATTTGTAACATTCTCCACTTGAAGAGGATGACTTCACTTGGCCTGCTTCATACGTCGGATTGCCAGATTGAGCGGTGCAGTCTCTCGCCCAGTGTCCTTCTTTACCACATTTATAACAGGGCGCGCCTGTCTTTGCAGTTTGATATCCTCTGGTATCTGAGTCACCTAAGTTGCTGTTTTTGGTAACACTATACGATGTAGGAGAGCTAACTGCATTGTCATTGCACCATTTGAAGAAACCACAAGAGCCCTGCAATTAAGAGAAAGCCATGCCATTACACATACACTCAGAGCTAAGTAATACTACATTCACCATTCAATCATCGTGCAAAATAATGACTCGGGATTCATTTTCTCACTTATTCCAGTGATGTTCATGGCACTAGTTGTATGCAAAAAAATCAACAAACTGTGTATGCCAAAGTGTCACTCAATTTCCGTCATTTAAACGAGGAAAAATCTCCTGAACTAGGCTAATTTAATAAACTAATGAAGTGTAGAGAGTTTACTTGTTCGAAATAAATAAGTAAGCTGAGTATACTTGGTCATACAATCAGAGATGGCATACGACGAAAGACAAGACTCAGCACTTAATCAGAGCTCTATCAGAAACGTAGCCAAGGCCTCACTAAACCACAAAATGTATAAAACATTGCAACGTTGATTATAGATAACAACACAACCAACCATATAAACAAATTGATATATACACCTCAAAAACAGGACAGCGATAAAACTGCCGGCCAACATTTTCCCCTGTTTTCGCAGTCAAAACACGGCACAATCCCGCACCACACGGACATTGATGATCCGGGAACTTAGAATCATTAGTGTTGCCATAACTATGAGTAGTAGTTCCAGAAGACTGAACCGCATCACACCATTGGAAAAATCCACAACCTCCGTTTTCCTAATTGAACATGTAGCTTAATTCATTATTGTCTCATAGGCTTTTCATCGAACACTTAGAAAGCAAAATAAACATTTTAAGAACCTCTCTATTGGGACATTTGTAGAATTTGCGTCCTGGATTCTTCGGTGTAGTTGAAGTAAGAACCAAACAAAGACCTACTCCACAGGGACAACTCTTCTCCGGAAAATCCTGTTCACCGGCGACGCCTCCTCCGTCTGATCTTTGAAAACCGCCGGTGGTAACAGCAACACTGCGAGATTTAGAGGCCGGATTTAACGGACTTTGCTGCCATTGTTCGCTTTTGCTTCCCTTAAGAGCCGCCATGTATGGTCCTTCCGGTATAGAAGAAACCCTAGGGCGTTTCGCTGCCGCTTCAGCTTCAATTGCGGCGAGTTCTAGTAGGAAATCATCTTCTCCGTCAAGAGATTCGACCTCAATCGTGTTTCTCTCCATAGTTTTTGTGCTCTCGATCTACGCTAGTTTGTGAAATTTTGTTTCGCTTTGGAGATTTTTGATTTTTAGGTTTGGTTTAGTGCTTAGGAAGCTTTCCCGGTTTTACGTGGCCACGTGGCAATACTTACTCATCCATAAGACCATGAACACTGGTGATATTATTTCAGTATCATTGGCCCAAATATAATTTAATAATAGACCAAACCATAATATTGGGCCTGATACGTATCAGTGGACTGATACTTGTGATACTCAGATTTGTGTGACGTGGCTTCCGGTGATTGGTCTATGAAAACAGAGAAGAAAAAGAAAAAAACCATTTCTCTCTTTCGTCAGCTTCTCACTTTCTCTCTCTCTTTCGAGATCATCAAACACAATCAAAACGAAGAATCACTTGAAGAGGAAGAAGAAGAAGATCGAGAAGCTTAATGGGTTGGATCCCGTGTTCTGGGAAATCGAGCGGGAGGACTAAGACAAGGAGGAACGCTGACCAAAAACTCAACAGGAAGTCTTCTGATTGTTCTGTCTCTACTTCAGGTAATTGCTCTTTAGAGGTTTCTTAATTTCCATCCTTTGATTCTGATTTTAAGCTTCTGCAACTACAATTTTGCAAATTTGTAAGCTTTCTGATTCCTGTGAGCCATCGTTTGCTAATAATGCTGATTAGGGTTTTTGACTTTTTGTTTAAAGATTGCTTTTTTTCCTTCCATTTCACTAGCTTTAGACTTCTCCGATTTTACTCTTAGTAGTAAATTTTGACCTAAATGATGTGTTATTTCAATGTCTCTTTCCGGTTAATTTGTTACTTCAGAGATTGTTCTCTAGTGGAAGTTGTGGATTAATCTAATTCTGATTCATATTATTTGATTGACATCTGAAATCCAAAAGTTTGATTTGTTGATCATTGATCGTTATTAAATTACAATCGAAGTATGTTTTGTACTTTATTGTTAAAACTAGTATAAGGATTTAAACTCAGATAAGCAATCAATTTGCTGGTCCAGTTGCAAAGTAGTTTATAAACGGCTAGTTTCAAGAAACAACATTGGATCTTCTAATGATTTGTTTCTTCACAATTAAGCTGTCTCATCTTGTGTCTATTTTGAACAGGATTCCGAGAGCGAGGAATGTGAAGAAACAGAGGAAGAGTTTCTAGAAAGGTATGCTAAAGCTGCAGCAGAATTGGAGGATAGTGAAGTAATTAAAGCTGTCTTATTGCAAAGTTCAAGCTAAAGTCCCAATAGTTTCTCCATACTTCCAGTCATCAACTATTTCACAATGTGATTCTGACATTGTTCTTCTCAAAGTGGAAAGAATTATAGGAGAGGAAGCAGCAAACGTCAAGCTAAAGTCCGAAGAGTTTCGCCATATTTCCAGGAATCAACTGTTTCAAAACAGCCAAGCCAGGCTCCTCCTAGAGATTTGCGTCAGTATTTTAAAGTTGTTGTCTCAAGCTTCTGTAATCAAGCAGACTCTACTGAGAAAGTTACCTCTGCAATGTTCCCATTTCTCTTAATTCAACCGAAGGTTCTTTCTTGTTCTCTTCATTTTATACAACTATGGTGAAAGTCTTTATTACTTCTGCTAGTTGTTGTAATCATATCTTTCAATAGACCTGGAATTTGTTTCATTATGATTAAGAATTGTAATTTGTTATGATTATGGATGGATTTCTAAAATTTTATATATTTATTTTTTATTTTGCAAATAAATTTTTTTTTTTATGATACTTAAACCGGTCTCACCAATGCAAACATATTTAGTACCAATATCATAAAAAATCTCAAACAATAAACAAACATTAAAATTAATATTAAAAAATTGTTAATGATACTCACAAAATATCACCTATGTGCATGCTCTAACTAAAGTTTTGATTGCAACGATTTACTTTGAATTATGGGTATATGGAAAGTTTAATGGCGTCTCTAAAGTGCTAGCTGTTGCGATCGATGATTGTCTTTTGTTTGGTTCTTATAAAATATTATTTCACATAGAGATTACTAGAAATTCTTAAATTAATTAATTATGGTTAAGACGTTCGGGTCCCAAACGCTAAAACGGTCACGTTGGCATTCGTGTAAGTTAGCTACAAAAATTCCACATAAATCTGCTTGATAAGGTGGAGAAATAGAGCCTCTAGATTGGTGAGAAAACGATGAGACTCGTTAACAAAAACATTCGACAAAATGAGTATGGGAAATCGGAGAGTTCTACCTACATTTGATTTTGAGGACACATCATCACTTGCTTAATGCATACACATGGTGTGATTAAAGATAGGACAAATCACTTATCAATAATTAATGCTTATGTTGTGATTAGAGATTCTGATTCTTAGGAAGATTCTATTGAGTTTTTAAGTCTACATTTTTTTTTTTTTTTTAAATCTTAGCTTTTTTCATGATCCGGGCAAACACTTAAGTTCCTCCATTTTGGCGACGCAAGGAGATCATGTCCATGATTAAATCTAAGTTATACCTTAGTAGGAAGTAGGAACCATAACTGGAGTGGTGGTGCATTGCTTTGACTAGAAAATAAATGGAGATAAAGTCAACATGGAAAAAGTTTCAAAATTCAGAATTTTCTGGTTTTCGTTCATCTCCTTAAGTGCACTCCTCTTCCTCGAATCATAAACTATTAACCTTATGATACTTGTTATATTTAACTTACCATAAATTTTATTAGTGAAAGACCAGCTTGAACATTGTATATGTTAATTGTTCTTTAAATATAATGTCTAGTTAGTTTTTCTCTTTTTTCTAGAAAAGAAACATCTAATTAATACAAAAATTCAATATGAATTAAATGATCGTAATGTCTTGTTCATGTTCTTTTTCGGGAAAAGAAATGTCTAGTAAATTCAAATCAAACTAAACATTAAAAAATGTAGCAAAGAAAGAGAATATATACATTCATGTTTTCCAGAGAACTCAATGTGATTATGTGATATCTACGCTTTGTATTAAAGAAAGTTGACAATAATAAAAGAAAAATTATATGCAAAGTGTTACTTGACGCACAAAAAACCCCGAAAATTGTGGTGAGAACAAGATCAAAACCTTTAAAAAAACCATGGTCGTAAGAAATTCTCCAGGAAATTCTCTGAGCTCTCAATTCCTTTCAATTAAAAAGAAAATCTTTAATTTAGGAAAATCATAATAAGCTATTTTTGGTAAGTGGAAGCCTAAACTTTACCAGCTAACTCCCTCAAAGACAAGAAAATATGTCTCTCTTTCCTTGCGGATCCTCAAAAACAATGTCCAAACTTTTGAACCATAAACAAAATCTAAACAAAACAACATTCCTAGACGAAGAGACAACGCCATACATCAATATTTTTAACATTATCTTGGTAATTAGATTGTTAGGAGAGATCAAAACAACAACAAGAACAGCAGTTCCTCTACTTCTCCTTAACCCATGACTGCTGTTCTATTTCTCTGCTTCCTTCTCCTCTGTTTCTCCTTCACCCCTTCTTTGCAAAACGTCAGTGAATCCGAACCGCTCGTGCGGTTCAAGAGCTCGGTGAATATAACTAAAGGAGATTTGAATTCATGGAGAACAGGAACCGATCCTTGCAATGGAAAATGGTTTGGGATCTATTGCCAAAAGGGCCAAACAGTCTCGGGCATTCACGTCACCCGGCTTGGTCTCTCCGGGACCATCAACATCGAGGATTTAAAGGATCTTCCAAATCTAAGGACGATCAGGCTTGACAACAATCTTCTCTCAGGCCCACTCCCTCCTTTTTACAAGCTTCCAGGCTTGAAATCTCTTTTGCTCTCAAACAATAGCTTTTCCGGCGAGATTGCTGATGATTTCTTCAAGGAAACGCCACAACTCAAGCGGGTTTTTCTCGATAACAACCGGTTATCCGGAAAAATCCCCGCTTCTTTGATGCAACTCGCAGGTCTCGAGGAGCTTCACATGCAAGGCAACCAGTTCTCTGGTGAGATACCTTCTCTTACAGATGGCAACAAGGTTTTGAAATCCCTCGACCTCTCCAACAATGACCTGGAGGGAGAGATCCCAATAAGCATTTCCGAGAGGAAGAATCTAGAGATGAAATTTGAAGGAAATCAAAAGCTTTGCGGGTCACCTCTGAATATAGTATGCGATGAGAAACCTTCATCTACAGGGTCAGGGAATGAGAAGAATAACACTGCAAAAGCTATCTTTATGGTCATCTTGTTTCTTTTGATATTCTTGTTTGTGGTAGCGATTATTACTAGATGGAAGAAGAAGAGGCAACCCGAGTTCCGGATGCTCGGTAAAGACCACCTAAGCGACCAAGAGAGCGTGGAAGTCCGTGTACCAGACTCGATAAAGAAGCCTATCGAGTCGAGCAAGAAGCGTAGCAACGCAGAAGGTTCCTCAAAAAAAGGTTCATCACATAACGGAAAAGGTGGAGGTGGTGGTCCAGGAAGCGGCATGGGAGACATTATAATGGTGAACAGCGAGAAAGGCTCCTTTGGTTTACCCGATCTCATGAAGGCTGCAGCCGAGGTGTTAGGAAATGGTAGCCTTGGATCTGCCTATAAGGCGGTGATGGCCAACGGATTATCCGTGGTTGTGAAAAGGATTAGGGATATGAATAAACTTGCACGTGATGCATTCGATACTGAGATGCAACGATTCGGGAAACTCCGACACCCTAACGTTCTTACCCCTTTAGCTTATCACTATCGCCGTGAAGAGAAACTTGTTGTCTCTGAATACATGCCTAAAAGCAGTCTACTCTACGTTTTGCACGGTACTATACAACGTTTTTGCTTTTTTCCATTGATTTAGAGCATATTTGACGTTTACCTTGGGATATATTTGAACCTTTTTTTATATGAAATTCCAGGAGATCGTGGGGTTTATCATGCGGAGCTAACTTGGGCAACAAGGTTAAAGATCATCCAAGGAGTGGCACGTGGAATGGACTTCTTGCACGAGGAGTTTGCGTCCTACGAGCTCCCACATGGAAATCTCAAATCCAGCAATGTTCTATTAAGTGAAACCTATGAGCCATTGATTAGCGATTACGCGTTCCTCCCGCTTCTTCAGCCTAACAACGCCTCACATGCTTTATTCGCGTTCAAATCCCCTGAGTTCGTACAAAACCAGCAGATTTCACCAAAATCAGACGTCTATTGCCTTGGAATTATCGTTCTTGAGGTCATGACGGGGAAGTTCCCATCTCAATACCTAAATAATGGTAAAGGGGGGACGGATATAGTTGAATGGGTGCAATCTTCAATCGCACAACATAAAGAAGAAGAGCTGATAGATCCAGAGATAGCGAGTAATACTGATTCGACAAAACAAATGGTGGAATTGTTGCGGATCGGGGCTTCTTGTATCGCAAGTAACCCTAATGAAAGACAAAACATGAAGGAAATTGTTAGAAGGATAGAAAAAGTAACACTTTGAGGAGATTCAAAAATGTAAACGCATGGAAAACGTTAGAGAGAAAGAAGCTTTTGGAGTCTGTAGATAAACAAACAAATCAGGAAAATGGTACGTTGCGCAAATAGGAATGAAACATTATTTTCCTCTGGCTTCACTGAAACAACGAGATGGTATTTTGTGATAACGATTTTTTTTTTTTTTTTTTTTTTTTGTTCATTAGGAAGATGTGAGGAGCAAACCATTTTTTGTTGTTGTTTTATAGATTTTTTTTCTTTATTTGTTTTTGACATTTTCCATTTTTCTTTGTCAAGAGACGTGATGTGAAATCATATTAGTAGTTTTATTTTATTTTCTTCAAGAAACTTCTGATGTAAATAAGTCCATGTTTTGTGTTATATCAGATGGATTTTTACGTAAAAGAGCCATGAAAACGTTTTAACAATTTCCCTTTTTTTTTTTTTTGGGCTTTTGCAAAAATGCCACTTTTCAAAAATACCCATTTTTTAAAACCTTATAAAAAATGCTCTTAAAAATATAAGATTTACCCAAATATGTATGTAATATTATTAAAACATACACAAACTACATTTCTATGTATCTAAAATCTTATAAATACTTTATAAATACCTTATAAATGCATTTTAAATACCTTTAAAATATCTTGTAAAACCTTTGAAAAACCTTAAAAATCCTTCAAAATAACTTGTAAAACCTTTAAAAACACCTTATAAAACCTTATAAATACTTGGATCGAGTCTTCAAGTAGTAGTTACAATCCATAAGTACCTTATAAACCTAATAAAACTTTATAAAAATTTCAGATTTAAAAAGGGGCATTTTTGAAAATGGACATCTAAAAGGGGCATTTTTTAAAAGGGGCACACCAAAAGGGGTATTTTTAACAATTTCCCTTTTTTTTTGGTAGGCAACATATTAATAATAATAATAAAAAAACGTATTAACCTTTTTTAAAGAGTAGTTATCGATACAAAAATGAAAACACTTAAGCTAAATAGAATTTTTGCGTAATAACTATAAAATGTGAAAACACTATTTTAAGTTAATTAATGATGTTTGATGAAAAAAAGAAAAAAAAAAAGATGCAAAAAAAGTAGTTAATTAATGATGTTTCACTTTTTTAGTCATACTTTAAGTTTGTTTTAGGATTGGTTTGTGATTTAAATAGAGTTTTAATGACTTTAATTGTTGTGTAGAATCTGTTGTTATTCAATCAAGATTTTGTTAAACTCTTTTAAAGTTTGGTGTTATTAGTTTGTGATTTGTAAAAAGCCATTTAAA